AAAACCAAATTCCAAAAAAGAAAGCGAACAGAATTAATAGTTTAAAAACAAATATGATGATTTGTTCAACAATACAAATCAGAGAAACTATGAACATATCAGGAATCAGATGGTCGATCAGTCGATAGGTGGAACAATAGCAACTCTGACAAAATGGACCTATTGAAAAAAAACGAGAATTAAATCAAATCGAAATTCCAACTGTTGATCCAACTCAAGCTTAAAACTTAGAAGATAATAGATATTGTAAATCCAATCAGAGTAACTATGAACAAATCAGGAATCAAATGATTGAAATCATCATTCATAGGAAAAAGTAAACATCTGCTAGATGCTCGTTTCATCAGTTGAATAAGCTTTTATATGAAAAACCAAATTCCAAAAAAGAAAGCGAACAGAATTAATAGTTTAAAAACAAATATGATGATTTGTTCAACAATACAAATCAGAGAAACTATGAACATATCTGGAATCAGAAGGTCGAACAGGCGATAGGCGGAGCAATAGCAACTCTGACAAAATGCACCTATTGAAAAAAAAGAGAATTAAATCAAATCGAAATTCCAACTGTTGATCCAACTCGAGCTTGAAACTTAGAAGATAATAGATATTGTAAATCCAATCAGAGTAACTATGAACAAATCAGGAATCAAATGATTAAAATCATCATTCATAGGAAAAAATAAACATCTGCTAGATGCTCGTTTCATCAGTTGAATAAGCTTTTATATGAAAAATCAAATACAAAAAAAAGGCGAATAGTATTAATAGTTTAAAAACAAATATGACGATTTGTTCAAAAGTACAAATCAGAGTAACTATGAACATATCAGGAATCAGATGGTCGATCAGTCATCATATAAGGAACAATAGCAACTCTCTGACAAAATGGACCTATTGAAAAAAAAAACGAGAATTAAATCAAATCGAAATTCCAACTGTTGATCCAACTCGAGCTTAAAACTTAGAAGATAATAGATATTGTAAATCCAATCAGAGTAACTATGAACAAATCAGGAATCAAATGATTGAAATCATCATTCATAGGAAGAAATAAACATCTGCTAGATGCTCGTTTCATCAGTTGAATAAGCTTTTATATGATAAATCAAATACCAAAAAAGAAGGCGAATAGAATTAATAGTTTGAAAACAAATATGACGATTTGTTCAATAGTACAAATCAGAGTAACTATGAACATATCAGGAATCAGATGGTCGATCAATCATCATATGTGGAACAATAGCAACTCTCTGACAAAATGGACCTATAGAAAAAAAAACGAGAATTAAATCAAATCGAAATTCCAACTGTTGATCCAACTCGAGCTTAAAACTTAGAAGATAATAGAGATTGTAAATCCAATCAGAGTAACTATGAACAAATCAGGAATCAAATTATTGAAATCATCATTTATAGGAAAGAATAAACATCTGCTAGATGCTCGTTTCATCAGTTGAATAAGCTTTTATATGAAAATCAAATACCAAAAAAAAGGCGAATAGAATTAATAGTTTAAAAACAAATATGACGATTTGTTCAATAGTACAAATCAGAGTAACTATGGACATATCAGGAATCAGATGGTCGATCAGTCATCATATGTGGAACAATAGCAACTCTCTGACAAAATGGACCTATTGAAAAAAAAGGGGAATTAAATCAAATCGAAATTCCAACTGTTGATCCAACTCGAGCTTAAAACTTAGAAGATAATAGATATTGTAAATCCAATCAGAGTAACTATGAACAAATCAGGAATCAAATGATTGAAATCATCATTCATAGGAAAAAATAAACATCTGCTAGATGCTCGTTTCATCAGTTGAATAAGCTTTTATATGATAAATCAAATACCAAAAAAGAAGGCGAATAGAATTAATAGTTTAAAAACAAATATGACGATTTGTTCAATAGTACAAATCAGAGTAACTATGAACATATCAGGAATCAGATGGTCGATCAGTCATCATATGTGGAACAATAGCAACTCTCTGACAAAATGGACCTATTGAAAAAAAACGAGAATTAAATCAAATCGAAATTCCAACTGTTGATCCAACTCGAGCTTAAAACTTAGAAGATAATAGAGATTGTAAATCCAATCAGAGTAACTATGAACAAATCAGGAATCAAATTATTGAAATCATCATTTTTAGGAAAGAATAAACATCTGCTAGATGCTCGTTTCATCAGTTGAATAAGCTTTTATATGAAAAACCAAATTCCAAAAAAGAAAGCGAACAGAATTAATAGTCTTAAAACAAAAATGACGATTTGTTTTACAATACAAATCAGAGTAACTATGAACATATCAGGAATCAGATGGTCGATCAGTCATCATATGTGCAACAAACTGGACCTAATGATAAGTAAACAAAAAAAATTAAATTGAATGAAATCAAAATTCGAGCAGTTGATCTATAATTGAAACTCAAGACTGAATCAAAGTAACTATGTACATATCAGAAGACAATTGAAAACTCTCAACATTTTGGGAAATAAGGTTGCTAAATAATTATGAAATGGCGAATAATTTTTCTTAGAAAAACCGACAGACCTCTGAAATTGGACGTGAGTATTTATACATGATTAACTAAAAAAAAAATCAGGATTCTAGGAAATTGTATCGTAAATTTCTCAAGAAATGAAAAATGGCATTTTACTAAATGAAAAGATAGAGCGAAAAAGAAAAGTGAATCGCACCAGCTAATGTTAGACAATTCATAAATTGCTTTCAACATTTATCATTGCGTGTAATCTTTATGGACACAGTGAAGCGGAATGCATCATCGTGGAGAACCGAGCATTGTATGCAGGTGAATAGGCAATTAGAAGAAAATAACAAAGTCTAATTTAAATTAGCCGACAAAACATACACCGACACCATTTAGGTCAAACAAACCTTTTGAGCAAAACAATAAACAAAAGGGAAAACATGCAAATACAGGGCTACTTAACTTACAATTGACAGGAGTAAATCAAGAACACTTGCAACTTGAATCAAAATTGCTTTAAGTTCAAGAAAATCTGTGATGTGGCAGCTAAGCCGACAAAACATAAACAGTCGAACAAAAGTTCCGGCAGGGACTCAAACTCCAAACCTTAGTGCACAAAGGCAACTGCGTTACATCTAGATTAAGTCAGAAGGAGTCTTCAAAATTTTAAGATTCAAGGAAACATATAGTTTCCCATTTAGGATACTTGTTCTCGAGAGTGTCATATTGTGGTCATAACATTGTTCCACAAAAAAATTCTTGTCATAATCACTTCGAGCGTTTAAGTTCTAGAACTTTGACTAGTAACTAAAACAAAAAATCAAAATAATTTCTAAATCTATAACAATTTTTGCCCTTCAAACGACACAAATTAAGTCCAACGACACAGACTAAATTCACTAAGCCAAAAAAACATACATGGACACCATTAAAGGCGAAGAAAGCTTTTAAGCGAAACGAAAGTAGAAAATATGCAAAAACATGGTCTTAAACTTGCAAATGACAGGAATAAATTAAGAACACTTGCAACACAAATGAAAATTACTCAAAAAAACTCTAGCAAAATCTGTGATGTGGCAGCAAACATCGCAAAAATCCGGCAGGGACTCGAACTCCAAACCTTAGAGCACAAAAGCAACTGCGTTGCATCTACATTAATTAGAAAGGAGCCTGAAAGTTGTTTAGGCTCAGGAAAAATTCAGGTTCCCCATTAGAAGACACAAGCTCTCGCAAATGTAATAATATGGTTCACGCAATGATTGAGGCTCAAAACAATTAGCGATACCTCATAAATCTTCCTCACAGAAATGCCTCATACTCAAAAAATGGCTCAACGAATTCTTGTCAAAAAAATCGAGCAATTAAGTGCTTAACTTTAAACTTTAAATTCGAAAACTACCCCAATTAATTATTTATAGAGCAATAAACATTTTTTTTGCCATTCAAACGCGACAAAATAAGTCGACTAAACTAATAAAACATTAGGCCAAACCATTTAGGTCGAATGAAACTTTTAAGCGAAACAAAAAAGGAAACTATGCAAAGCGAAGTAAACTTGCAAATGAGAGGAGTAACTTAACAATACTTGCAACTTAAAATTGAATTGGTCACAGCTCAAGAAAATGTGTGCTTTCAGCTCGCGATGTGGCAACTAAGCCGACAAAACAAACAATCTAAGTTCGACATTTCAAAATAAGTTCGACATTTTAAACTAAGTTCGACATTTCAAAATTTTCCGTTAAAAATTTCAATTGCAAACGTACCGAAACAGAAAAAACAACATAGCCGTCAGACAGTTGGAAAAGAGTCAATGAACACAAGGAAACATAAAATGAATCTTATGTTTTTCGAAAAAACTTCAACTCTCGAGTTTCAATGAAAAAAAATATATATAGCCTAAAGCTCTCTGAATTTCAAAAATTATTTGTTTGATACAAATAATAATATTTGAGAAAACTGGATAGGTAAGTGAACTTTTTATTCCGCTGGGAAATCAGAAAATTAAATGTCACTTTCCAAACAAAAAGTCGATCACGATTTTCGGGACCTTTACAATTTTGCTGTTTGATAGCTGAGTTTGCCTTCCTTTCACAAAGGAAACGAACTGAACATTAAAAGAAGCCACAAATCACGCGAAAAATTCATACTGAGCGTGAACATAATTTTCCAAACGAACATTAATAAAAAATCACCAAGAGCAATATAAGAGTCTTAACTACGTTCATCGACTCTTAAGGTCCGCCCGGGAATCCTTAGGACGCAAGGGAAACTTCGTTACCATTACCTGTAGCGTTAACCATAAATCGGAAAAGGAGCCTGTAAATTGTTACAGTTGAATAAAAAGACTAGTTCCCGATTACAAGATACTTGCTCTCGCAAGTGCAATAATTTGATTCCCGAAACGATGTAGGGTCAAAACGATCATCTATAAAGGCCTTAAGCCTAAGACTGCCTTAAACTCAGACCCAGACAAACGTCTATATTCTACAAATTGAATAACAACATTCGATAAATACTTTAACTTTCAAAATATTTTTCAACTCAAGCTTTATTTTAGATGCCAGTGGCTAAACACAAATTGAATTCAGCAGGATAGAAGAACTCGGATTCTTCATTGGCCACTAAAACAAGGGCACCGTTTTCTGATTGGCTGATTAATTCAACCAATCGTTTCAAACTACAGACAGCTGTCGCTATAACTGATCCCACGGTTAGATCATACTCGCCGCTCAAAACAAAGCCCAAAAGAGTTCGACCATTTTTTTTCTTCACATTTTCTTCCAATTCTTCGGCATTTTTATTATTAATTATCTTTCTGTATAACTGTAACGGGTCGTCTTTGATATCTGAAGCCAATGAAGTTCCATTGGTTTCTTCAGCACTATTTCGTGCTTTTCTCAGCGATTTTCTTTCCTTTCTAGAGATTCGCTTGTGAGTCACTTCAGGAGGATCTTTTCTGGCTTTAGTGGCGGCGCTATCTTCTCTAATGGGAACATAAACACGAGTTCCCAGTCGTGCAACTAGTCCTGACACTACTTTCAGTCTGATCATGATTAGACCAGCTTGCATGTGAGGTTGCAATCTTGAAATCAGTTTGGCAAGTTTTGATTTCGATGCTTCCGACTTCCGTATCCTATAAACGCAAAAAAGGATTAAACAAAAAAAGTTAACTCCTCTCTCCAACCTAGAGGTAGCTTTATTAACTTTACAGCGCTCATTGGAAGTTTTCTGCAAAAAAAATTTTTTTGTTTTTCGTGTTATTCTAGTTATAGTTTTTCGTTCAGATCTTTTTATCACACCACGCAAAAAAACGACAGTTTAGAAAAAACAATCTTGTGTAATTTTTGTCAAGACTAAGGTCAGAACATTCTGAGCTACTTGCACAGTAACCGTATATCCTTATTTTTAAAAGAGAACTCTTGCTAAATCCGCGAAAAAAAACTTTTAAAAAATAACTTTGATGATTCCGAAGCTTTTTCGGGACAACTTTGATCGGGTTATCTTTCAAAAACATCAACATCATCTTACCGTTTATTACTTTTATCAATCGGCATCACAAACTCCTGCAACTCAACTAGTAGACTTCGATCCCTGAGTATATAAAATGGAACATAGAATTCACTCTTCAGAAAAGGAGGCGTGTAGTTGATCAGTTCCTGCAGGGTCATACTCTGTTCGGCTATTTGGACTGATTTGAGGAAGGGCAGACACTGACACTCGCTCAGGTCGCTGCAGTTCAGCGGCAGACTACTTTCTCTTACTTCAACTGGGTCCGATTGGTCGTCGGTTTTCACACACACCTGAAGTATACATTTGATTTATTACATAGATATACCTTTAAGAAATAATCTTTACTTAATTATAATGGAAACGATTGGTTTATAAACTATCCTTATGAAATGTCTTTTACAAATTATCCTTTTTAAACTTCAACATTATAATACTGAATATAATTTTTCATTTTAAATCATTTTTTGAAAACCAAATTTTACGTCAACTTTGCAGGTATTAATTCGACTGAAACTTTGTTAACAGGCTTTGCGTTGAATCAAAATAACCAGCTGTAACTCTCTTAGAAATGATTGAAAGCGAATAACTATTTCTTCCTAGAATATAAATTGAAAACTTCCACATTAAAAAAGTTAGTTTAATTTCAGTTAAAAGTGGGAAGAATGAGCGCAACTAAAAATTCTGGAATATGCAAAAAAGATGAAACTTCGCGTTTGAGAAATGTTTTTTTTTTATAAGATTAAGACCATTTATCCACGGGGGAAAGGACCAACACAAGAACACGGGGAAAGGACCAACACAAGAACACGGCGGAAAAATACAGCTCATCACGGCGAACCGCTGCTGTGCCCGCAACTTTTTTGGTTATTTTTCTGGGCTGGGTAATGTTGCTTCAACCTCAAGCAACGAGCACGGATCATGGTGGGCTTCGAACATCCGATATTTCGATTGAGAGGCGGCGACGTAACCACTTCACCACCGCTCCCCTCAGAGAAATGTTACGCGTTTAAGAAATGTTACGGTGGAAACCAGGTTTCGGTCGGAAAAGAGAATCCTAGCAAAGACTTATAATGTCGAGAAATGTGAATCTGCTGCAATAGGGGCGTCCTTTGTTTAGACCCGATGAGTCTGAAGTAGAGGCGGAAATGGATCGGACTGGACTATTTTAAAGCACTCAGACTGGATTTTCAATGCTGGTATCACGTCTCTTATCAGTCATGACTGCGAATTCTCTCTCCTATTGAGAGTCAACACCTGTCACCGGAATCTGGCAGAATGGCATAAAATCCCTTTTTTCAAAACGACGGAAGTTCAGTTAGCGGAATCACGTTTCCGCCGTTGGAATCTTTAACACCATTTATCCACAATGGAAAGGACCATTATACCAGCTGCACAGCTCATTGCGGCAAACCGCTGTTGTGCCCTGCTTAAGAGCCACATGCAATTTTTTGGTTTTTTTTTCATTCAACATGCGGGCTAATGCCACCAAAAGCAGGCGATGATGGCGCTGATTAAACCAAAGCTCTTTTGAGCTGGAATAAATTTTCGGTAAGTAGGAACAAATCAAGTAAAATTTGCAATGTTTCCTGATTTCTACACGGACGCGAAGCTGCACATTGCAAACACAAGGAACAAAATGTCAAAAAGGCTCTAAAAAATAAAATGGCAGTAAAAGTGAAAAGAAGCCTTGAAAAACAAAACTTTCGGCCGTGTCTAATGTCATTTAAATGATTTCTCACTTCTAAAAACAAAAAAAATATATCCGCTAACATACAGATGATTAAGTTTTTTTTTTAAATTTCTAAATTGAATTAAATCCTAAGACCACTATTGCTGCAAACTATTCATCAAGTATGTCAATCTAGAAAATCAAGAAAAACTAACCTTTTTATAGTACTCATCTTCAATGTCCAATTTTGCCTTTTTTGCTCCAGCGTTCTGATTTCTAGAATCCAGACTCTTCCGTTTTTGACCTGTTCTTGACTGGCTCCCAATTTCGTCGCTTCCTGTCTTTGGTTCGCCTTTAACAGGATTTAATACCGGGTTCAAAATTTCTTCGTTTTTCAGATAAGTCTTCGAGATCTCGAGGAACTTCTCGAGATGCTTTCTATCAAACGAATCATCTTCATCAAACAACTCTTCAAATGCACAATTAAAAGGATTCGCAATTCCGTAAATCTCGAAGTGGAATCGTTTACCATGGGGCCTTCGTAGAACATCCAATCTCAACTCGTTACTCAGCTGTCGAGAACAAAACATACCAACGCTGGCATCTACAAAATCGGTGGGAAAGCCAGCGAAACCGGCTCGTCTCAGAAAGCGTTCCCGTTCACGCAAACCGAAAACTCGAACTCTTAGTCGTTTCAGCAACAGCCAAAAGGCCATGAGCCAGTTTCTGGGAATTATGAGCTTCCAGATAGTGTTGTAATCCGTATTGGTTCTATTCGAGCCAAAATCTTCACATTTGGCAACAGGAAGACTTTTTCTGACCACTAGAATTGGAATTCTTGCCTCTTCGTCAAACAGGTCGACTGGGGTCAATGGCAAGTGATTGCTTAGATAACTCTGCACCTGTGAGTTGCTCATTTTGCGAGTCATTACGTAATCTCTTACGTCACTATCCCATATGAAACTATGCGATATTGGAAATGCTGGTTCGGTTGTATTTTTCTCGCTTTCAAAGTGTTGTGCCTCTAGATTTTCTTCAGCTCTAAATGCTATTCTTGGGTCGCGCGCTAAAAACCCAAAAATTTGACCCTGTGAAACATTTTTCTCAGTCAAACCATTCCAATCATCCGACTGGTTTTGGATTTGATTTTTCATTTCTTTGGATTCATACATTTTAGTCCACCAAAAAGATTTGCTCACTTTGATCGTTTGGTTTTTCGTTTTGCTCATAATGAACTTTTCTTGGTATTTGAGGTCTGTACTTGAAAATTTTAAACACTTTTTCAGAAACTTTAGACTATCGTGACCTATCATTTCAATTGAGTTTAAGGCTCCAGTTAAGTTTTTGAACTCGATTTGAGATTTCCTTACTAGCTTCTTGAGAGCAGATATTAACGAATATTTCATTGACGGGTGAAAACTAATCCACAAAACTCTTTCGATTGAAACCAACAATTTTTCATCTTTTGTCTTTCCTAGATCGATTCCCTTCTCAACTGCCATCCACATAAAACTGACAGGTCCAATACAGCCATATGGATAAAAATCAGGCATGAAAACGATGACATTTCCTTCTTTTAGGCCAGCCAAGTAATCTGCAGCAGCAAATGTTAGCCCAATATCTGTACTAACAATTCTATTTAGACTCTTTAAAAGTTCATTTTGCGGACCTTTGAGCTCGACCCAGCCATAGTAACTAGTATCACTAACAGCACATTTTATTTTCACATCTCTATGCAAAGCTCGCAGAATTTTATCCGTGCAATAATTCGGAAGCTTATAGCCCCACTTTTCAACCATGTGAAATCTTTTCGCATGCCATAAGTGACTTTCGAGCCATCTGAAACGACTTTGTCGGTTGATGAAAATATTTCCTCTGCTTAATTTCGTCTTCTTGTGATCTTTGTATTTGAACTTTTTCGACTGGGCTAACTTTTCCAAGGACAAATTTTTCCGCGCAAAATCAGGAACTCTTTTCGGGTTATGACTCATAGCTCGTCTTCGCATGTAAACAGGAAGTCGCTGGGTTATCGCAGTCTTCTCTGGTTTCGAATTAACCGAGATCTCGCACATTTGAATTTCGTCCGCTCTGGCTTCCACCATTTTTCTCACATCAATTGCGGCAGAGGCACTCGACGTACTATCTAATGATTCAAATGTGCGACTTTTCGGCATTCGTTTCAATATTTTCACGCGTCGTTTGTCTCTCGACTTGCTCAGCCTCCTCTCCGAATCTATTTTCGCTTTGAACACTCTCTGTCGCTCGGAATATTCTAGAAGAGTCTCGAAGTTCTGAGAACAGATAACTTCTTCCTCTACTTTTCCCGGAGGCACCTCGATATTCATTCCCATCATGGGCTCTCGCTCCATTCTAAACCGGAAAAAAAAACAGCTTCTATTTTGGTTTTAAAACATGCGTCAAGGAATTAATATTGAAAATACTTAATATACTCGATTTTACAAACACTTTCATTATTTGCGACGCAGAAAAACGCCTGTAATTTCTATTATTCAAAACACGGCAATAAAAATTCTGCCTCGGTTTTCCGGCGTAATCTTTTAAAACGTTGAAGGTTAGAGAATGTTTTCAAAGCAACATTTTTCAGCTGAAATTTCAGTAGCAAACGCGGATGCGGGAAGTCTCAACTAATTATCCTTTCATTTGTATAAAAGGGTATGTAATCGCTAGAGCAACTTCATCAATGATTCTCAAAAATTCAACTATTAGGCTCTTGTCAAACTTCAGGGCCTTAGTCAAATCTGATGACATGAAACCAACTACCAGAAAATCAGTTTAAAGACGGTTAAATTTATTTGCATATTTCAGTTCATTTAATCAATTTTTGCTTGCTGTTAAACTCTTTAATAAACTCGGAGTGATCTTCTTCTGACTCATAAAAGGGACCTTGTTCCTTTTCCCTTTCCATTCTTTCCACATACTGCGGGTTCCACTTATACTTCGGATGGTACCACCCTTTTGGCCAGTTTTTGCTCTTTTTCGGTTTGATCCAGATCTTGCCTGGATCTACGTCTCTATCAACTCTGACCAACGGGATCCCTTCTGGAATGCCCTCATCCCAAGACGATTCTGGAACTTCAAATTTCTGAGCCGCAGTCTTCCTTTTCAAAAGAGCAAACATACATTTCACAGCTTCATTGTTTATATCAACAGAACCTGTAGTTTCGTCATAAGAAAACAAAGGCGTCATTTCAGTTGACCAAAGCACGTTCGCTCTTGGATTTGATGCTTCTGGCAGAAATTCATCCAACATCATTTTTCCACTCGCCACAGTATTCAGTTGGTAGTTATAAAAAGAGACATTCTGGGTTCCGTCATACGTCATCGCATTCAAACTTAGCGGCATGGTTAAATCTTGAAAAGGTGTGAACTTCAAGTACCAAGCCGTCGAACTCAAGGTCGAATGCATGTTAAGCAGAGTTTTACAATCCGTCACTTCTTGTGCATAAAAATCCGAGTCTTCTCTCCAAAACTCTGAAGGTCGGCTATTTAGCAGAAACTGCGTGTGAAAATACTGGTACAATGACCCTGGTTTCACCCCTGAGAAAATAACTGCATCTTGAACCTCAGTTTTGACCGGGACTCTTTTCTTGATCCATTGTTGACCTCTTCTGGGCATTTTGACCTTTGGATTTTCCCAAACTAACTCTTCGTAATATTGCATATTGTGAGGCAATTCAGGAATTTGATCAGGTGAGTACTGGCATATTTCGGAGTCTAGAGATTCCAAAGGAACCAGAGGGTGTTTGGATCTCAGTTGGGCAATAGCTGCCTCGTCCGTAACTTGATACATATTTTCATCTTTACCAAAGAAGCCAATAGTTTCTACGTTTTGGTTGAAAAACGTTTCATCCGAGCCAAGCTCACTCGAAATTTCCGGATGATTAGAAATAGAAAACGCAATTGACTTCAGAAAAGATGCGAAATGTTTGTTTGTTCGGTCGTCAAACTTTTCTCTGAACACGCTATTCCGAAGAAGATATTCACGAATTGCAACCAGAATCGAATCATTGAGTGAATCAACAACTTCATCACTAATCGAACAAGCTGATCTCTGCATTTCTAAGGGCAGACCTCTCATCAATTTTGTCCTCGTTGCGAACAGCCAATAAGGTAAAGCATTGTAAGACTGATTAGAAGATTTGATTTCATAGCGTTTTTTGGCACTTTTTCTGAACTCAAGCATTTTCAAATGGACATTTTCAATTTTCTCAATTTCCGCTATTTTGACTTGATCTCTATACCTTTTGGCATACTCAGTTGTGTTTCTGAGAGACGGGACTAGGAGAGGATATCCGTCAGGTCCTCGAAATGATTCCAATTTGTCCTCTTTGTGAAAAAAGGAATATGGGAAGGGTCCTTTTCTGTTGAAGTCTTTCTTCTTCCATCGCAATTTGAACAAGCGATTGCCTGACATAGCAATGGGTTCCTTCTTAACAAACTCCTAGCAAACAATCTGAAAAAAAAAACAGAGATAATCAAAGTTATAATTTGATTCACCCAGAATTGCACTTCGCTTCTATCGATTTTTCCCTCTTTCTTCGTTGACGGCACTCGATGCTGAATTTTCACCACTAGAATTGACAAATAAAATACAATAGTTAGAATTCCATCTTTTTTCATCCTTAGTGTCTCATTGGGAACAATACTTTGAAAAACAAATCAGTTCAATATTTTTACTTGTTAAAGTCAAATTTGCAAAAAGTGAAATAAAGATCAAAAGTAAAGGAAATATATAATTATAGATAGTACAATACAATATAGGCGTCTATAAATAGATGATTCAACTGTGATTGGAAAAACAAGCATCTTAGGCGATATAAGTTTCTATTTACTCATTCAGCTGTCGGCTCAATTCCAAAAATTTGATGAAATCAAGAACAATTTAATCTTTCGTCCCTGGTAATTTCTGTTCTGGAGTTATTTCAAAGTTCTTTTTCTTCAACGTTGGAAAAGCTGTCTGAATTTTACGCGAGCTTATCTGATTTTGGATTTGAATGAACCTTCCGTAAATTTAGTTGGTTTTCACGCTCTTCTTTTTCTTCTGACCACCACCTCCTCCGCCGCCTCGGTTCTGGTCGCCTCCGGATACACTCTTCGCGGTGTTTGATAAGCTTTTTGTCACTGAAGTGAAAGCATTTAGCATTGGCCCTTTCACCTGAAACAACAGAACTTGCTATTCAGATAAAAAAAACTGGTGATGTGTTACAATAGGTGGTAGTAATTTTGAGTACAGTCCACAGGGGCGGATTTAGAGGGGACCCAAAGCCGACCCAAAGGGTCCCCCTTTTGATACTTTTTCAGAAATCCATTTTTGGCCGACCGACCCAAAGGGTCCCCCCTTTGATACTTTTTCAGAAATCCATTTTTGGCCGACCGACCCTAAAATTTTTCTAAAGGCGCCTTTGGCGCCAATATATACTAACTTTGAGGGGGAGCGCGCGCCAAAAAAACGCGATTTTTTTGTCAAAATTTTTCAAAAAGTGCCCAAAAACGGCTTTTTTGACTGTTTTGTCAAAAATTTAGCCAAAATAGGGTGAAAACAGTGCTTTGCGAGAGCTCGAAAAATCAATTTGGTCGACCTAAAAAAAAAGGTCGTCAAAATTTCCGAATTTTTTTTGAAAATCCGCCCCCCCCCCCCCTTCGAGAAAATCCTAGATCCGCCCCTGACAGTCCATGTATTAAATTTGAGAACTATAATGCATAATATAGTCATTTCATTTTCAAATAATTATACTACTACTAAGATAATTTTAGTAACTACAATACTCTGCCAGATGAAATGCTATTCAAAAATTCAAAATTTACACTTCTTTTTGCTAAAAAAAATTTGGCTTTTGAAACAAATTAAATAATGTGCGAAGTATAACAAAAAGCGACCCAGCTGTTCAAATTGAACCTACCACATATTGTATTATATCACCAAAAAACGTTATTTACTAATTTTTCAAACTCGCGAGACATGGAAGTTTGATTACTGATTCATTATGATGCGGTTTTAACCCACTATATTAAGTTAGAAAAACAAGCCTAAAATTTTTGGGACATGTTTCGTGGGCTTCTGTTAGTTGTTTTTCTATTGTAAGTCTATTTAATTTAACTATATTTCAGTTTGAGGGTTAAGTACCCCGAGCAAAGATTGACCTCAAACGATGTATCATCTCATATATGACCAACTGACAACAAGGATAGCCAGTTGCTGTGCAAGTAGCACAGAATGTTCCGACCATATTCACAAAAAAAAATCAAACAAAATTAGAAAAAAGTTTTTTTTTTAATTTCTTCAAATTACTGTCGTTTAAGTGGGTGGTGTGATTCGAGACTTATACGATCGCGTAGAAAATTTGCCAATTAGGCAGGATCGACAAGAATTATGATCGAAAACAAAAAATGAATAAAAGAAAAAAGAAAGAAAAAACCTTTCGCGCTAAATGAAACATCAAAAACTGGCTTTCTTTATTGTAATATGAAGTTTTTTATTCTAAAGGTCTGAAAAAACAGTAAATTTTCATACGACGAGCGTTACTCGATCGCGTTAGTTGCTCGAAATTAGACTAAATCTCAAAAAAAAAATTAATGTCGTTCGAATCACGACTGAAAGGCTTGAACTCTCGACCCATTCTGATGATTATTTGTAGTTAACTGATTTTGCGTGGAAAACAAAAAAAAGTTTCAAAAAAGAAAAAAATAAAACACACCCGAATACAAGTTTCATCTCAATTCTCAATGGTCGGAACAAAAACTTCAACTTCTCAGAGGCAATGATGGGGAATTTCGATTTTTTTTTCAAAATTTGCTAGCGTGCTCGGAACATTCAGTGCTAGTTGTACAGCCAACGGCTAACCTCGTTACACACTGCATCCAAAAAAGAGGCGGCGAACCTCAGCTAGCACAATGCTATATTTTTCAAAATACTTACATTGTGGTAGTTGTAGGTGCATATGCCGGCGAGTACAATTAATAGAGGCAGTAACAGTCCCCCTTGTGTGACGTCATCTTCTGCCCCTATGTTGGGAGTGGGGTTGAATCGGAGGCGGACATGGAGGGAGGAACCAACAGCTTGGAAAGAGTATGCACTAAGGTTGTAGCTGTACTCGGACCTAAAATGCAACAGAAAAAATTATGACCGGCAACACTTAATGATTTTCTGACCAGAACATTTTGAATACATCAGAAAAAATTGTCAAAAATGACTCAGAAGATGTGGAGCTTCGAGGAATTACACTAAAACCAAGGGTTTGATTCTTACAAAACAGCCAACAAACAGTTATAAAAGTTTCAATAAAAGTAAACAGAAAAAAATACTGACTTCCAAGAAAAAATAGATGGCCTTAAAGCTCTTGGAATTTCAAGAACAATTTATGATTGACATTTGGTTGATAAAAATAACCCAATTTAAAAAAACTGGATCAATAGGTAAAAGTTTTATTTCGCTGGGAAATCTGATTATTAAATTCCATTTTCGAAGTTAGCAGCAGATCGCGTAGTTAATGACCTTTACACTTTTGCTGTTCGATAGTTAATTGCCTTCATTTTAACAAATTGAATGAACTGACATTGTAATGAAATCAAATTTCAAACCCAGCCTGAACAAATTCACGAAAAAAATCATTGCGACTTATATAAAAATCTGAACTACTTTCATCGAATAAAAATACCTAAGCAGAAACCCTTTAGGCCGAAAAAAGTTAGCAAGACTAAAGACTTATAAAAAGTTAAGAAAACCCCCTCACCTTCAAAATATACTACGGTTGAAACAAAACAACGCCAATAAGCCGATATAATATAAGCCGAAACTTATCAAGCCGAAAAAACGAAAAGAAAAAAAATGTCATGAGAACTTGAACTATTATTTCTATTAAAATATTAGCAATTTGTGCGATCCATGTGAGCAAAAAATTAAATTTCCCTTGAAACGAATCAAAATTAGGTCAGTAAGCCGAGAAAATATAAGCGAAAACCGATTGGGCAGAATAAAGCTTTTAAGTGAAAAACAAAACAAGAAAACGTAAGATATCAAGATAAAAAAACTAGGAACAGAAGAAGTAAAAATCAAATCATTAAAAGCAAATTTAATGTTAATTGCGTACAGCAAAACAAAAACAATTTTAATATATGGCAACTAAGCCTACAAGATATCAGCAGATAAATAATAAGCCGACACATTTTGAAACGGAATATTTTCCGTATGAAAAAAAAAACAAATCCTGCCACATTCGAACCCAGGACCTTTGCCGTCCCAGGCGTATTCGATAGCTCCAGACCAAGTGTTCCGGAGATACAAAGAAGTTTGAATTCAGTATGAGCTGAACGTAAATTTACCATTTTTAATTTTGACCATTCTCAACGAAGTTATTTACGGGAAAAACAGTCTAGTACCTGATTGCAATGTATACCAATGGTTCTCTACCGTTTTTCATCATTTGCTTCGGCTTTATGCTATAATTTAAGTGATTTTTGTTGTTTTATTTTACAACTTTCAATCTCAATTGAATTAACATTTTTTTGCTCAAAATGACTTGACTCACTTGGAGAGTGTGGATTCCAGCCTGAGAGTGTACCACTTTTCGTCCTGAGAGAGGGATGTGAAGTAGAAGAAGGGCACCTGGTCCAGACTGTGGGTCTCTATCGGGACCCCCACTCCACCCACACTACCTGTGCTGCCCCCATCCTCAGGGTACACACTTACCTGTAAAGACAGAACAGCAGACAATCAATCCTCTAGGAAATCAAAACATAATGGTGGATATTTGTCCGTGTAATCATCAAGTGAGAAAATAGATGCTGTAAAGCTATATCTTATGCCTTTTTGGGATTTATCCTTTATGATTCACTCGGACTACTTAATAGTACAAAACGTAGCCAAACGAAAATTGAAGAACAACCAATAAATTCAAAAAGATAGAAAAAACGACAGATTTTTTTTTGAAAATTTTTCAATTTTTAAGTTTCAAAGAAACTTCATTCATGGATACTTAAACCCAAAAACTAACACTGAGTGATTGTAGGAACTTTTCTTCTGTGGTCTCAACGTATCCATTCAGATCCAGTTCGTTGTTGGGTTTCGGGAACACTACGAAGTTCACCCCAGTAACGTCTCTCTTTTCCACCGCTATGGTCTTGGAAAGGGGCACAGCGTAGTGCAACAGCTGTCTGTCCAGTCGTACACTGATATCGTACTCACAGTTGGCCTGGAAAACAAAAACGTGTTAGGTTCTTTTAAGACGATACAATCTGATTTAGCCTATCATATCCTCTTGAACATAAATTTGAGTTGAAAAAAAGGGCACCTTTGAAAAACTGGCCACCTTTGAAATTTCACCCACCAATATGATGAGATTACTTACCACAAACGAACATTCAATAACGCGGGTTTCTTCAAGTTTTAGTAGTTAGCGCGCGAAAATGAACTTCAGAGTTATTTTCTCAGAAAAAAAACTTCTGCACGCAAGCACGCAAAATGTTTATGGGATAGGCGTTTTGCTCTTTTTACTGATTTTTATCAATTCTTTTTAGCATCTCTACGTAACTCAGATATTACAAGACAATAAGCGTAACATCAGGCCTACTTTTTTTCAGTTTCGTGCAACATAACCTGAAAGAACGGATGCTTTTACCTGCAGTCCTAGTATAGTGAATGTTCCATCTGCCTGTGAGACTCCCTCCTCCTTGGCGTGTTCACACTTGGTTCCCTTCACTCCACTGGCGAGGACTGTGACCCCTGCCTTTGTGTCCATACTCGGCGTCTTCACCACTCCGAAGCAGGTGAAGGCAGTCCGAACAGCTGTGAACTCCACCACACTGTTCTCCCCTTCGCCCACTTTCAACAGCTGAACAACCAACGAAGATACCGATACGAGAGAATCCCTCGTGACCGAAAGTTACATTAGGCAGTTAGAAGTGCGCATTCAAAAATCTGACCATCCAATCATTAGCTTCGCTGCGACTTTTTTTCTAAACTATTAAGTTACTCATCCATTTTCTCCAAATAACTTTTCCAAGTAACTCTCGTCAACCCCAAACTACTTCGTTCAAAATTTTAAAAAGTACCCAATTTGGATGCTCACAGCTAAGCTAAACTTTTTATGGGAAACAATCGAAAAAAAACTTCACATTTTACTGCGATCGAGTACAAAAACAAAACAAAACAAAGTTCAAAAGAACTAGATCGGTTTTAGACTCGGCAGTACCTTGTTTGCTGGACTGAACGTGAACTCCTTCTTGAGTGGTTTGATGAAGTACTCTCCCGGTCCCAAATTCAACAGGAGCAACTGACCATCCGAGTTGGTGAGGTTGTTCGATCTATACTGTCTCTCTCCATCACTCACAGACATCAGAGCACCCACCAGAGGAACATTCGCCTCATCTTTCACCTATTTAACATGCACACTTTTAATGAAGTAATAGTCAAGTGGCTAATGCATCTGTCTTCCAACCGGAAGGTCGGGGTTTCGAAGCTCACTAAGATCCCTGCGTTTTGTTCGACCGTCAGGCAACCACAACCCCCTCCCCAACCAAAATCCATTTTCGGCTGACCAACCCTTAAATTTTTCTGCAGGCGCCTCGGGCGCCAATATACAATTGGTGACTTTTACACGTTTGCTGTTCGATAGTGGAAGTTGCTTTCCTTTCCAGGGGCGGATCTAGGATTTTCTCGAGGGGGGGGGGGGGCGGATTTTTAAAAAATTTTGACGACCTTTTTTTTTAGGCCGACCAAATTGATTTTCGAGCTCTCCCAAAGCACTGTTTTGCCCCTATTTTGGCTAAATTTTCTACGCCGCAGGCAAATTTTTGTAAAAACAGTAAAAAAAAAACGTTTTTCGGCACTTTTTGAAAAATTTTAACAAAAAAATCGCGTTTTTTTTGGCGCGCGCTCCCCCTCAAAGTTAGTATATATTGGCGCTGAAGGCGCCTTTAGAAAAATTTTAGGGTCGGTCGGCCAAAATGGATTTCTGAAAAAGTCTCAAAGGGGGACCCTTTGGGTCGGCAGGGGGTCGAATCCCTGAGGGGAGGGGGGCGTCCGCCCCCCCCCCCCCCCCCTAAATCCGCCCCTGTTCCTTTCAACGAATGAATTGAAGTGAACTTTAAAAAATTCAAACTCAAACCGCAAAAAATGAAAATCTATCGCCAACAAATTTTTGTTTTTCCGAGATTTAAGTGATTCGTCATAATTATTCGTCTTAGCTAAGAACTGGCTTCCATGAAGGATTATACAGACTGATATGGAGATGGATGCGAGTTTGTTCACAGTGAAAGTGGCGATCCCCCCTTTGTCTTTGCTGGCGGAAGTGGCGAGAGTGAACACGTAGCCCTGCTTGCTCAGCCTCAACTTGTAGAGCGATTTGTCTTCCAGCGGCCCAATGCTACAAACACATTGAAATTATCTAATTGTTTCTTTTCTGAAAGTAACGGTCTAACACAATCGGGTACTTTCATATCTTGGTTAGGCTTGTGAATCAAACGCGTCATTAGAAGAGGACATTTCCCCCAACTCTCGTTTCCCTTATAAAAAAATCTCTCGAAACAATTAAGCACAAAGAACTGTCAACTGCGCCGGAGTTGTTTTTTTGAATAAGACAAAAATGATTCAGAACGAATAATAAATGCATCTTATATTTACCTGATGTGTTTTTCGCTGCTCACTTGGCTCATGAACACAATTCCATCTGAGTCCAGCACTTCTACTGTGACGTCATCAGTCTTCGAGGAAAGAGTAGCTTCCAAGAAATCACCTGGGCGACCTATCAACCAAGATCATCGCCATTATATACAATTTTACAGAGGCGAAGCGACGCTTCGCAAACACTAGCGAGAACACGGCAAAAAGCAGCTCTAGGGAAGTGTGGGGGGGGGGGCTATTCTCATGCGCGAAGGACCGAATGCGCGAAAAAACTCGTGAGCCAATGACCGAAAATAAAATCAGCCGAAAGACAAATTTTAAAAAGAAGCAATTGCCATTCAATTAAATGAAGCAATATTTTGCTTCTTTCATAACGAAACTCTTGAAATATAAAATTTGTTCCAATTCGTCGGCGTCAATGACAATTTGGAAATTTTGCATATTTCTGCCGTTTTTACATTCGGCCAATATCAATACTCATTCCCTAAAAATGTTAACTTTCTTTCCAAACTTTACATTACTGAAACCTGATTGGCTGATTTTTATTTTCGCGCATTCGGTCCTTCGCGTATGAGGGATTCCACCGGAAAGTGCACAAAGAAAAAATAGAAACAAGCCTCGAATTAGCAAAAATTCAGCTAGGTCTAGAACTCGACCTACTGCAATCACTAGATTTTGAGTCTCACGCACGCTTAACCGCCGACAAAATGTAGTCACGAGTAAAACAGCTACAAATGCTAATAAAATGCACAAAGAGACACAATTTTGCAGGTAATAATTTGGAATATAATAAACTGAAGGTATCCACACTAACTTGCATGTAGCAAATCGCAAACATAAAATCACATTATGTATAAATTATGCATTTCAAAGAATTGCGATTATGTTGAGCTAGGAAATTTCTGATATCGATTTTTTATAATTGTTATGTTGTTTGAAACAAATAGCTTTTTTCGGTTTACTTGATGAATTAAAAATGCATCAACTGTGTTAACTTATTACTACTCGAATGTCAAAGCACATGCTATCAAAAAGCTGTAAATGTGCCCGAAAAGTGGCACTATGATTTGCGTCTTAAGAAAAAAAAGAAGAATCCTAATAATACACTAAACTGACGCTAACGTAAAAACAATAATTCCGGTTCGAGATGGAGTCTATTGATGAACACAGAGGCGAAGCTGCGCTTCACAAACACTGCGAGAACACGACCAAAAGCAGATCTATCAAGAGAAATAAAAAAAGAAATAAGCATCGAATTAGCAAAAACTCGGCTAAGTGTCGGATTCGAATCTACGATCTCGATCTAGCAAATTGAGTCTCACAAACTAGCCAATCAGCCACGGCTGCTAAAAATACCCAAAAACCAGCCACCGAAAAAGCAGCTACAATGTGCTAAAAAATTGCCAAACCGATGCAGCAAAAATAGCAAAAAGAACAAAAGACACATTTTTGCATGTAATAAATTGGAAAGCATAAAGCCAAAGTATGTATAAATTATACATTTCAAAAAATTGCGAGATACATTTGAGTTGTAAAATTTCTGAAATCGAGCTTTTTATCACTGTAATGCAGTTTGAAACAAGTAAATTTTTTCGGTTCATTAGATGAATTTCAAATGCATCAGCTGTGTTAACTTTTTACTAATCAAATTTCAAAGCACATATGATATTATACTGCTACCGCAGCCTACCGATTAAAAAGTGCCACCAAAAGTAGCATTTTCATTTGTCACTTAGGTTGGAAAAAAAGAAAGTTTGTACTAATACACTTTGCTTCGCAAGTGTAAACATTAGGAGTAAAAGCTAGGCCAAAAAAGGATCAAACATTCGGTTTTGTCCAGCTGAAAAAAATTATGAGACATCAGGTAGGTTTAAAATCTGAAATCATCAAAATATATATCGCCTTAAACTCTTAATTTCAAAACCAATTTATGACGGAAACTTTCTTGATAAAACTGGTCCAATTTGAGAAAACTGGATCAAGATATTTTAAAAAATATATTCCACTTTCGAAACTAGAAGCTGTTCGCTTTTTTTTCGCGCCTTTTTGCTTTTTTAATTTGAGAGCCAAAATTGCCTTTGTATTGAATTTGAAAAAGGGTCAAAACTCAAGCCGCCAAAGACCAAATTTGAAGCGAACAAAGACCATTTCTTGAAAAAAGTCGACTCGGCGTATACAAGTGTCGTCACTACATTCATTCGCTATATTCGAAACAAATGAGCGTGCCAGTTTTAGAGTTTCTGGACGTTGACAATAAGGATGCTGCCCACGAAAAAAAATAATGTACCGAGACAAATCTACAAATGACAGCACTTAAAAGAAAACGACAACTTGCAAATTCAGGTTGAAAATTAGTTCAAAATAAGGCATTATCAAATAGCGACAGCTGGCTCCACTGCGCTTACATTCGACAAAAACTGTATAACGTGCAAGAATCAGGGTTTACCAATAATCGAGATTGTTTGCTTTGGCAATTAAAGAGAAAGGTAAATAGCAAAAAATTGACAAAACTGTCTTTTTTGTGAACTGTGATATTCTTCAGCTTCTAGTATTTGGCACTGATTTCAATTTAAAATTGCAGTTTCCACTCACTTACCTGAAAACTTGACGATATTTCCGGGACACTTGTGGCCGTCCACAGTGTACAAGAATGATTTAGGAGTGAACAGAAGTGTGCCTGATTCTGCGGAGTATGACAAATGGTCTCCTTTTCTGAAAGTCAAACTGAATTCACTCAAAACTATGCTTAATATTAATTCAAAAAAGCTTACAATTATTCATAATACTTCTTGCTTACTATTATTCATAAATAATCGTAAGCAAGAAGTAAACAAAAATACTGGCTTCATTATTGAAAAAAACTCAACATTCGAAACAGATGGCCTTAAAGCTCTTTCAATTTAAAAACAATTTATGATTGGCCCTTTTTTGATAAAATTAACCCAATTTGAGAAAACTGGATCAAATGGCAAAACTTTTATTTCGCTGGGTAATCTGATAATTAAATTCCATTTTCAAAATTAGAAGTCGGTCATGTTTTTTCGTGACCTTTACACTTTTGCTGTTCGATAGTGCAATTTGCCTTCCTTTTAACAACAGAAATGAACTGAACTTAAAAAGAAATCACAAGTCAAACCGCGAAAAATCAAAATTGAGCGTGAACAAATTTTATGACTTTTCCTTAAAAAATCATGGCGACCTATATGAAAGTCTAAACTACGTTCATCGACTCTTAAAACAAGACGGAAGCTACTTATGTTTTCACTTGCTTGGCATAAACGGACAACTTCCACTTTTTGCCCAGTTCCAACTCCTCCACTATCACTTCATCTTGCTTCACGTCATTGATGGCCACTGACACCTAAATTACCCAGTAATTACATCATCTATTTTACGTAATCACAATTGCGTAAAAGTATGCATAAATGGGCCTATTCTAAAATGGAAAATAGAGATAACTTGTGCTTTTCGTTTGGAATCTATTTTCTTGAGGCGAAAATTGTTTTCTTTGTGCCCTTAAAAAGCCAGTAGTTCTGACTCAGAAGAAAATCAGTATTTTGGTCTTTACCCGCATGGGTGAATGGATTAAACAACCCTTTTCCACAAGATATGGTGAACTTATCAAATGAGCAATTACAGTCTAGATTATCAATCCAACAACTGGTATAGAACTTTGGTTTGCAACCAGAAGCATGAGATCATTTTACAAACCCCTCTCTGAAATTAAGCAGGACAATTGATAAGCTTAAGGTTATTTGTTTTCGGAAACATGTTTAAAATATTGTAAGAATTCAGGACTTTACCTCAAAATCGTCAGTTGGACTTTCGATTGTGGCATCCACGAGAAACAGTTCCGGTTCCAGCTTGAGATTCATTGCTTTCGATCGGTCAGTTGCAAGCGTGTAGCTCTGAAAAGAATTGAGCCAGTAAAGAAGTAGCGGTCTTACTTAATGAATCAATCAATTTTTTGGTAATATTGAAACTATTAACCTCTTGACCGAATTTGAAACAAGACTGGGTCGTTATTTTGTAGCTCCCACTCTTCGGTAGACAAGTCCTGAATCATAAAAACTCATCGTTTATATTTTTTAATATCCCCAGCTCCGAAATTAGGCGACCCCATGAAATTAGATTGGCCGTTGCGAGGTCTGGGGGTAGTTATATTAGACAAAAACTATTTTTCACGAAAAACATAGCCCACAGATATTTGGAAAAAGTAAAGGAACGCAAAGAAACAGAAAAAAAAAGACTTGATTAGTGCAAAAAATTCAACTTTCGAATACCAAAAAAATCAACCTTCGAAACAAATAACAATTTATGGTTGTCAGTTTTTTGATAACATTATCCCTATTCGAGAAAACTAGATCAATAAAAAAATTTTCCATTCCGCTGGGAAATCTGACACAGGCGAAACTGCACTTCAAAACCGCAAGCAAGAAAACGTCTAAAAATCTCTCTAATGCATAAACATAGTGAAATAAAGAAAAAGAATAGGTAAACATAAGCATAGAAAAAAAATACTATTTGCCGGAATCAGACATCGACCTGGAGATTAGAAGTTTCTTCTTCTCGCATCTGCGCCATGATTGCTCGAAAGTTTAATAACACTGGTTACCAATAAAGCAGCAACAGTAACGATTAAATTGACAAGTCTATTAAGCAACCACCAAATGTACATGCAAAAATTGTTATGTAGAAATAATGTACATGCAAAAATTTGATAATGTACATAAATTATAATGTACATGCGTAATTTTTCAAAATGAGTCAAATGTCATAAATTTGAAATGTATCAAGTCCATAGTTGTTTAATTGTCCAAATTTTAAAATAATCACTTTGACAGGGGAAATCATTAGAACATCGCAATTCGTCTGATTCCCTAACTTCAAAATTAGCACGGTCGTTTTTGAGAAATTTTTACTTAATCTCAGATTTGGCACTATAGTTCGAGTAAACCATAAAGTTTCCAAAAACAAATTAAAATTTGATAAAAATGGACTTTCATGTCTCACATTACCTTTTCGACACATATAAGGGCAGAGCTGCTATGCCGATAATATTCCCAGCGCCCATTCATTCGATTGAACCTTTCGAATGAAGCTCTCAGATTTGGCAGATAGTTTGAGAGTATCAAAAGTTTCCGAAAAACGGTCAAAAATTAAAACTAATTTTTCTTTCTGCAAAAATTAGTGCGTAGCTGCTCAAGCAGACAAAACTGCTGCTACCTTTTCTTTCGATAGATCCCTTAATGCCAAACAGTGCGGGGTAATTTTTGGAGAAAATCAACCTTAATGCCAAATAGGGCGGGGTAATTTTTGGAGAAAATCAAATTTCCAAAAACTGTCAAATCTTCAAATAAGGACAACTTATGTGACTATAACATTTTCCTACATAAATTGAGGTGTAGACATTTCAGCAGGGAGGATTCTAAACATCGGTTCTTATGATTGCACTCTTGGTCTCTAAAATTTGATAAAATATTTTTCGAGAAACGGTCAAAACTTTACATTTTGGACATTTTCTGAGGCCATAACGCTTTGTATACAAAAAAAAGGCAAAGCAGCTTATTGAGTGGAGATCCCTATGACATGTTCTTTTGACTGGACTCTCAATGGATTTTACAGGGTAATTTTTGAAAGAAAAAACCAAAAAGGTGTCAAAAATCCCCCCATTGAAATTTTTGAAGGTAATCGGGCAAGGTAAAAAGAGACTAGCAGAATTTGCGGCAAACCTGGTCTTTCTATCACAAGGGTAATTGCATTGGTCATACAGGGTCTTTGCATTAGTTTTTCAACTACTTTTGTGAAAATATAACCAAAGTAGCACCAATAAATGCAACTTGGGTTGGAATACAAGTTGCATCGTAGTATTACACTACCCTTCGATGGTGCAAACATTAAAATCCACTTTCAAAACAAGAAAACGATTTTGAGCGTGAAAAGTTTCGATCGTTTAATTTTCTTTTAACAAAAGAAACGAAAGTCAAACCGCGAAAAAACAAATTTGAGCGTGAACAAATTTTATACTTCTCCTCCTCCTGTAGAAAAAGGATCAATTGAGCGATCTCGCGCCAGTAATAATGACTTGAGCTATCTACCCGTGAAAAACGATGAAATGCTACAAAAGACATTATCAAACGCAACGTTGAATTTTCGAAATTTCATTTGGGGCGATCATTGCCTCGAGAAAAGCAAGTTATTAAGGTTGGTGCTCTAGCCTTGCAGCTGACAACCAAAAATGTTCTCCGCAGCACTATAATGATGTGCGCAATGGCATGTTTTCCAACCGCGACAAAAAAGTCGTCTTTATGTACACTAGTTGTAGTGATTTATTCATTCTGAAAGTAATTTTTGAGTGTTAGTAAAATTTGGGGTTGCACTTTCGTTGGAGAATTTGGCTCATGATTTCATATCATTTAAAATTATTTTCAAGTGGTTATAAAGATATCTCCAGTGCCTATTACGCTATCCCCCACGCGAGAATGGACAAAGAGTGCTCAACTGATCCACAACAAATCATCACGACCTGTCTAAGAGACTGAACTACGTTCATCGACTCTTAATAAGCTATCAAAATAGACGAATTATTTAAATGTATTTTAGTTGAGATTAAAGCTAATCGTAACATTTTAGACAAACAGGCGAAGCTTTGCTTCGCAAACACTTGCGAGAATACGACCAAAAAGCAGCTCTATCAAAAGAAATAAGAAAAGTAGAAATAAGCCTCGAATTAGCAAAAACTCGGCTACGTGTAGGATTTGAATCTACGACCTACTGCAACTAAGAGATTTTGAGTCTCACGCACTATCCACTCAGCCACGCAAAATTAACAACCGACAAACACCAGTCATGAATAAAGCAGCTACACATGCTAATAAAATGAGATTCAACAAAAGTGGCACCAAATACAAATAGACCCAATTTTGCTATTCAACAAAAATGACAACAAATACAAACAGACTCAATTAATAAGTAATAATTTGGAATATAACAAACTGAAGGGTTATCCACACTAACTTTGCATGTAACAAATCGCAAAGCATAAAGCCACATTATGTATGAACTAAGCATTTCAAACAAAAAATTTCATCATTGTTGTTGTTTGAAACAAATAGCTATTTTCTGTTCACTTGATGAATTAAAAATGCATCAACTGAATTAACTTATTGCTATTCGAATGTCAAAGCACATGCCACCAAAAAGCTGTAAAGGTGCCCCAAAAGTGGCACCAATATTTGCGACTTTGGTTGGAAAAAAAAGTTCCTCAAAATACACTAGCTTCGCAAGATTAAATAACGGCAAACCCTGTATCACGCAAAAAAACAATCATGCCAAACGTAAGGTCAGCGGGAGCAAACGGTCGCTTCTTGTCCATAGCGTACCGGGCGAATTAAAAGCGTCAACATCACAACTTCTTGGTGAAATTTCGTCTAAATTATTTTTTCTTACTTTCACCCCTCGAAATGCATCATCAAGAATGGCTGGTCCATTAAGAATAGCTGGTCTCTAATAGAAATACTTATCTATTTAAGCACTAACCTGGGTTGACTCTTCATATTATTTATCACCGCTTTCATCTTCGGGTCTGCCGAGTGTTCATATTTGAGAGTGACGTCATCAAATGCAGTGTCCACATTGAACACGAAGCCAGTTTGTTCGAACTTCGCTCCAGAGAAGACAGTGTCTGGTTTAGTCCACACATCGGCAGCCATCTCGTTCGCCTTCCAGCAGAAAACTGAGTCGTCAATTTTAACTAAAACCGCAAAAAAATCAAAGAAATAGATTCGATTTTAGATTTACCTTCTTTAGACTTCAGAATTCAGAAAAGAAGCCACCCAAACAGGCTCAAAAAATTATTCCCCAGAACATACCAATTTTTTTCCAAATTCAGTTTTTTTAAAATCATGTAAATGACTCACTGGTGTAGACATCGAACAGCACATTTGCAAATGTGAACTTGGTCATGTTTCCTTCGGCTGTCAGCTTCACCTCGTATTTGATATTAGCATTGTTCTTCGGGAATAGCTTGATTGACAACTCAGTTGACTTACATACATCTGAAAAAAAAATTATGCGACTAAATTTCTTTTCCTGAAGGTAGAAAACCAAAAATGATCATTTATTATTGGATTATTATGTGTTCAAGCTCGGCTATTATCACAGTCACGCTGGACTGTAGAAACCGCGTATGATTTTGATTATCCTAATGAGTTTATAATCAGCTTGATTTAATATCTAACTTCATCGTAAAACTTTCAATCAAAAATGGTCGTCGAAAAATCTTAAGATTAAAAAAAATTAGTCTCAAAAACGACCAAAAATATCAAATTTGTCTTCCCATTAATCTAATTTGCTTTAAAACTGGTCTTGATCGATATGTTTTGCTTGGTAATACCATCGACATATCTCTGACCTATGCATTGCACGAGTCCTGTGATAGAGGTGAGTTTCTGTTCGAACATTATGCCTGAATTCTTGACCATGATGTCTTTCACTTCACTTGTCACTTCCTCCTTCTTGAACATGAGACCAGCAGACTTCTCCTCTTTACTCACAACGGGCTACAACATCACATCAATCAGTCGTGCTCTGTTTAGTTATCGGCAAACTTGTAGTCCAACGTATCAAAAAATTTTGAATATGGCAAGCTTTTTAATTCCAACTCGCTAAATAATTACGACGGGCAATGGCCTTGATTTCCTTTTGCATACAAGAACCCATAAAAATGCAATGCAAAACAAGTTAGCAGTTCAAATTATGTCTTTCTTTGTGCGCGGTGTGATGAGAGAACTTTACAAACACGTAAAAACTTAGTGCATTAGGTATAATAGGCAACAGTTAAAATTGTCTTCAAAATGAGTAACAAGAAAAGAAAAAAAATGATTATAAAAAATGTCTTAATTTTTTTTGCACAAAAATTTGTTAGAAAAGGAAGCATCAAAAACTTTTTTAGCCTAAATGAACAACTTTGATATGACGACGTTACTCGCTCTCTTTAAATTGCTCGAAATCAGTCTAAAAACTCAAAAAGTTCAAATCAATTTTTCTCGACACTGGGGCAACTTTTTGAAACAAAATTGATGTCGTTCGAATCATGACTGAAAAGTCCTTACACAGAGGCAAAGCTTCGCAAACACTAGCGAGAACACGACAAAAGGGAGCTCTAGAAAGTGCACTCAGAAAAAATAGCAATAAGCCTCGAATTAGTTAAAATTTTGCTACGCCTCGGATTCGATCAGCGACCTTCTTCGAACTAGATATTAAGAGTCTCACACACTTACCACTCAGCCACGCACGCTTGATAAATCACAAAAACTAGCAAAAATTAAGCGGAAAACAGCTGCTACAAAATTTCCAATGCTAAATTGTGATTATAGCAACAGTGCAACCAAATAAGTGAGCACTTTTAAAGAACACATAGTTGCGAGTTAGGTTAGAAAAAAATAAGGTTTGTACTAATAGACTACGCTGCTCGCAAGTGTAAATATGATATATCATGCGACCTAATTCGATGATTTTTTGTTGTTCTTGATTTTGGGAGGAAAAAAAATAACATAGCCATCTGACAGTTGGAAAAGAAATATGAACGCAAAGAAACTGAAAAAGAACTGACTTATTTTTTGAAAAAACCTTCATACTTTGAATTTCGAAGAAAAAAATAGATGGTCTTAAAGCTCGTTGAGTTTGAAAAACAATTTATGATTGTCATTTTTTGGTTAAAAACTAACCCAATTTGAGAAAACTGAATCAATAGGTAAAACTTTTATTTCGCTGTGAAATCTGATAATTTATTTCCATTTTCGAAGTTACAAGTCGATCACACTTTTGCAGTTCGATAGCGGAGTTTGCCTACCTTTTAACAAGCTGATGAGAACTGAAAAATAGATCAAAAGTCAAAACGCGAAAAATCAAATATGAGCGTGAACAAATTTTCCTGAAAAAACTTTCCTGAGAAACATCACCAATATCTATATAAGAGTACTCACTACGTTCATTAGTCTTAAAACCACACCCGAAAACAAAATTCCTTCCCATTTACAATGGTCGGAACAACAGATGTTTTGTTCTAACAATTCTAGGTTTCGTTCTTGAAAATTGAAACTTGGGACTTGAGCAGAGTAGTTGTCACACTTCAATATCAATCAAAACAGAAATCAGTTCAACGGCTAAAACTTTGCAGCCCTTGTCGAACAGTCAGAACCATAGTTCTCACAAAATCATCATCGTCACTCAAAACTCGTTTAAAACTGCTTTTGGTTAAAATTAGAACAAGCTATTTCCAGTTACTTCGACGTAATTCTTTCATTCACCTTGACTGTGCTCTTAGTTGCAATGGGTACCATCCCACAAAAGACTCCCTTCTCATCGGCAGACACAGTTTGAGAGACCATCTTCTCTGCTTTTCCACCTGAAGAGACTATTTCCACCTTCCTGGCTAGAGACTTGCTGTGTCCACTTGGGAACTGAGACATGTGAAGCGATCCACACAACTTCACTCTAAATGAAAGATCAAGGCGAGATCAATCACCACGTCCAGCTTACAATTTTCCCTGAATCCTCTGTTGAAACCAATTTCAATTGCTTCACCTTATCAAAATCTTTGCGTTCAATCAACAATCTTAAAAATATTTCAACGCTGAATCTGCAGCCTCGCGACACTAAATTGTTAAAATCATTTCAATATATTTTAACTTTTTTTAAGCAAAAATGATAAGACGATTAGAATCTTGAAATGAAAAGACAAGAAACGAAACCGCAGATATCTAAAACTCGTCATTGCTACTTACTTGGAAACATACAATGTCTCCAGATCCGGTTTACTGGGGACCAAATGGACCTTCACCTCGTTGAACTCATAGCCACTCTTTTTCACTGCTACCACATACTGGCCCACTGTCATCTTTTCCAGAAGGAACTTCCCTCCTGCGTCTGTTTTGGCCACCGATTTCCCATTCACTACTATCTCTGCACCCTCGATGCCTTTTGAGTCTGTGGGTGAGAGCTTCACGGATCCACCAACTGAGAAACCAGAAACTTCGAAATTGGGCTAAAATAAAAATAACAAACTCATAAGGCGAATGCTACATCGTATAATCAAAAGTCTATCAGAGAAAATAGAGCAGTTTTATCTAATAATTTTGACGTTGAAAGTTTATTACAAACAATTGATCATCTAAATAGCCCGTTACATAGAGAATCTCAGAATACGAGGTTGCGTAAAACTGGGTTGTTTACTGATATTATCAGTTGTCTTTGAACACTAAATTAAAAATTGCATTCATATTTACGATTTGCGATCCTCCAAAGAATCTGTTTAATAGCTAACCGTGATGGCAATAGGCGAGTTTCCGACGGTGAATTTGTATTCTGTTGGTTTCACATCAAACTGGGTTTTGCCACTTTTGTAGAATGGAACCTAAACATACAAACCCAAAGTACGTTACACAAAATCTCAGTCATGAAACTATTTGTAGCCTAGAACATAGCCATTGAACAGCTAGAAAGCTCTAACAGAGCCAGTAGAACCAAAAATAAACAATGTTTGGGCTTTTTTCAAAACTCGAAATATATATATATTTATCAAATAAGCTCTGCCGAAATAACCATATTTATAGGTTGCGCTCTGCCGAAATTTAATTATACGTGCGCTCTGCCGAGAAAAACTTCAGGTCTCATTTTTCTCTCAGTAATCAGAAATTTGCGCAACTTAGGACTATAATCTTTTAATTAGTACGTTTTGAATAAGTTTTACTTCATCAAAATTACGTGTGTTGCCTTTTATTACAAAAATTTTTAAGTATTTATAAGTGCGCTCTGCCTAAAAAACCATAGTTATAGGTGCGCTCTGACGAAATGACTTCCAAACTATTGAATGATTGCCTTGAAAATGATTTAAACTACATTGCCTTGAAAGAAAAAAGGAACTCCTTTGTTTTTTTGCCAAAAATAAAATTATAGGTGCGCTATGCCGTTTGCTATTTTCTTCATTATTCAACGAGCAAGAATTAAAAAAAATTGCTAAACTAATATAGATTTGAATGCACCATCATGTCAGCCACTGCTGCAAATCCTCGTTAATCAGGTACTAGAATATGTGTTCTAATAAGTTGTTCAAGATTTTCAAAGTTTTTGAAAGTTTTCATTGGGGTCAATTTTAAGCTTGTTCAAAAAAATTTCATAATTTCAAAATTTCATTTGGAAGCATATTGCTTGGCTCACATGCATTATCTTCAAAGCCTGGAACTAGATCTATTAAAAGCAGAAAAAATCATAATTCAAATCATTTTCCCCTAACTCCTTTTTTTCACGAAAAAAATCTGTTTAAAAATGGACTACGTTTTTTCACTAATAAAAAATAACAGTCTCTCGCAAAAATTTCAATGCAAAATTAAGCATCTATGATGTTGAATATATTTACCTCATTGAAGCTATTTGAATTCCAAATACTGTTAATGAGTTGCACTTTTTTCGTAAGCTTGTCCCAATAATAGAAAACTGGATCAAGACGTAATTTTGTATTCCAATGGAAACTCAGAAAACGTAGTGTATTTTGAAACTTCAAACGCGTTTTTTTGTGACATTTACACTTAAGCTGTTCGATAGTGGAGTTTTCCTTCATTTTCACAAAAAAAAAGAACTTAAAAAATCTTAAGTCAAACAGTGAAAAATCAATATTGAGTATGAACAAATTTTCACACAGAGCGAAATTTTCACACTTCACAAGCTGTAGCGAGAACACATCAAAAGCAGCAGCTCTAGAGTTCTAAAAAGTGCAATTAAAAAAAGTCAAAAATAAGCCTCACATTTGTAAGAAAAATTCGGCGACCTAGAAATAAGGAAACTGAAATATGGACTGTTAGTCCATCGCAAACACTGGCCACAAATAAAGCCGAGAAGAGATGCTATGAAAGCTCCAATGCTACAGATCGTGATTATAGCAAAACGACACACAAATGAACACTTTTAATACACTTTTTTTAGAACACTTTTAACACTTTTTTTGCGAGTTAGGTTAAAAAAACCATGTTCGTACTAAAACACTAGGTGCTCGCTAGCGTAAACACTGTTCCTGAAAAAAAATCACCACCTATAAATGTGAAAATCACTTCGTTTTTTTTAGCCATCCGTTTCAAAAATACATTTTCCAATTTCCGTTCAAACTAACTTAGATGGTGGACAACCAATTATTCGCATTTGATACTTTGAAAGCTGTCAAAGAAGTCTTCAGGGAAACACTGTTATCATTAAAGTCTTCACATCTTTGAGAGTTGTAGTAAATTGAAATTAAAACATACCAGCTCGTATTGCCCCGGAGTGAGAGCTGGGAATCTGAATTTGCCCTCTGAGTCTGATGAGACGAAGCACTCTGGCTCCCCCTTCGGTCCACCTTTGAACCCGTCGGCCGCAGTCAGTTTGGAGTCGCAGTTTATGGCAGACTGTAATACAGTTCAACACTACAAATCTGTTGGCAAAAAATCCAAATTTTGCCATAACCAGCGCCGAAGAAATTTTTGAGCCAAAAACTTTCTACACAAAAAAAGGATAATTTTTAGCTTCTTGTTCAGAAAAACAACCTGAGCAACCATATTTCTTTGACATGGTCAAATCATTTTTTAAAAACGGACTCGAAAAATTCTTAGATCCGCATGTTTAAGATCACTTAGTTATAAGTAGTTTGAGTTTTTATTGCTTTCTAAGGTTTATTGGTGCATTTGCATAGTTTTAATAAATATTGAACCTTTTTGCCAAGAGAAACTACTTGAATTTTAAAATAATAATCATTTTTCGCCTTTGAAGCGAAACAAAAATGGGCATTTAAGACAATAAAAACAGGACAAAAACATTTTCGGCCAAATAAAAGCTTTTAAGCGAAAAAAAAATCGAAAACCAAGGAAAATGCCAACGAAGGGGTATTAATTTCACTAATTCAAGAAGTAAACCAAAAACACTTGCATCTACACTGACAACCGGTGTCAGCACAAGAAAAGTTCTCGCCATAAACAGCGCCGAAGAAATTTTTGAGCCAAAAAGTTTCTACAAAAAAGGACAATTTTTGGCTTCTTGTTCAGAAAAACAATCTGATCAACCATATTTCTTTGACATGGTCAAATCACTTTTTAAAAACGGACTCGCAAAAATCTTAGATCCGCATGTTTAAGATCACTTAGTTATAAGTAGTTTGAGTTTTTATTGCTTTCTAAAGTTTATTGGTGCACTTGCACCCATGTTATCATAAATATTGAACCTTTTTGCCCTTCTGTTGAGGAAAGAGGAGGAACTTCACTCCTAGTACAGGTTCAGATTCAGAAGACACGGACCCCGAGACAGAGAACCCTAGCACCAAGAGGGGACCCGCATTGTCCACATTGTCACTAGAGACTTCTAATGGAACAGAAGCTTTTTCCAGGTGGAGATCTTTGTTATCTTCCACCGAGAGTTGGTAGCTTCCGGGTAGCACTGGACTGAGCTTGAACCTAAAATTGTTCTCACTTCAATTAGATTTTAAAAAACTATTTCGCTGAGATACACCTGAAAACGAATTTGAAGATCCAATGGTAATCTCCAAGGCACTTTGTAAATTTACTTAAGTGTCATCATTAAGAATTTTTCTATACTTTCTTTCAGCCTGAAAACATTTTAATAAATGGAGCCGGGTTTCTATTTAACTTGGTAAAATCTAAAAGCAACGCCCAAAAATATATTTCGATTCCGGTGTCTGAATTCGAAAACAAAAAAATGACCAGGGTTCCACTTGCTCTAAATCAGTGAACTCTGGCACCAAAATATATTTTTAAAGTTTTTCATCATACGATATTCTAGGACTCAAAAATGAGAATCTACTCACTTTCCATCGGCCATCGACTTCGTTGTGACACTTTTTGCTGACTTATCCTTGCTGCTACTCATCGTTATTTCAACATTCGAAGGTCCCGATTTGGTCCCTTTGGTCAGAATCTGAAACATTTGCTCTTAATGCATAACTTTACACAACCATTCTTTGGCAAAAAAATTAAGTTCGAGTCCGCCAAATTCAGTAAGAGGACGGATAATAAGCCAAGATAATAAATGTTACCGCGGGAACAATTCTCTTGGATAGGATCATTTTGAATACATTTTCAAATTAAGATTTAAACATCATTCCATGTAAAAATGAGACGATTCATCCACGAGGGATAGGACCAACATACGAGCTGTTCAGCTCTCCACGGTGAACCGCTGTTGTTAGCCTGGTAAAAAAAAAAAATATATATATATATATATATATATATATATATATATATATATATATATATATATATATATATATGCAATTCTTTTGGCTATTTTTCTGGGCTGGGTAATGTTGCCTCACCATCAAGCAACGAGCACGGATCATGGTGGGCATCGAATATCCGACCGTTCGATTGAGAGGCGGAGACGTAACCACTTCACCACCTCTCCCCATTATATGATTATAACCATGCAAAACCAACACTTCGGAATCATTAGCAACATGAAGTTGACCTCACCTGCCCCTGTACTGTGAACCCTGACAAGATGAAGTTGAAATCCTTCCCATCTTCACACGTATTCCCTTTTCCGTCACTGCTTACTGCAACTTCGTACTCTGAGGGCTCTAAGCAGATACGTCATTTATATGTCTATAATTGAAAAATTTCACCCTTATGGTACCTACTAAGAATATACAACGAGACAAAATTACAATTTCATTAAATTGTACAAAAAATGCGCTCATTTTGATTAACTGGAAAACAAATAATTATGACAGGGCCGGAGTTCGGGTGATTGGTGGGGTGGGGGGGGGGGTATTATTTTACGACATCCATTCTCTTCGGTATTATTTTACGACATCCATTTGGACGACTTGACCCTAAATTCTTTTCACAACAAAAAATCCGACAATGCTTGAGCAGAAACTCGTTGAGACGAAATAATTTCATATCCCCCACTCAACGCCAACCTGCTGCATAAAACCTTTTTCGGTTATCAATCGACGCAATATAAAGCGACTAACCCGATACAATCTTTACCGTAATCTTGTCTTGTAAACCAATTAATTAGAAAAGAAATGAAAAATTGAAAAAATAAGAAATCGTAGTTTAAAAAAAACAACGAACAAAAAATGACAAATTTCAAATTGAACAATTATTAGCAGAGTATCGCGTGTTATTATAAAATTCTGATACACTAAAATAAATTTAAACAGAAGATACGGAGGCGTTCATGCACTTGGCGGAAAACTTTGAGGAAAGTAAGCCGATGAAATATATGACGAAATCATTTAGGCCGAAAAATTTTGTGAGCGAAAAAAACAGAGGAAAAAATTTGAAGTCAAGGCTAGTAGTATTACAAATTGCAGAAGTAAATGAAAACATAGAAATCAACTGCAAAAAAAACTGCATACGGCAAAAAAATCCAAGATGTGGCAGCTAAGCCGACAAAACATAAGCAGACAAGTAGAGGCCAACAATTTTTTTGAAACGTTTCCCGTTAGAAAAAAAACACATGGGCCGTCCCAGGCGTATCTGTTGCCTTCAGACTAAGTGTTGTGCAGATGCTTAAAAAATTGAATTCATTCTGAACCAAAATACCAAGCGAGTCTGTTAAACAAGTTAATATTCCGATTTAATAACGCTAGCTAATCGCAAGCGTAAAAAAGATTACAGAGAAAACACTTATGTCTGATTAGCACCGAACACAAAATAGACAAGACTGCTCGTATCAGGGCGAAGCCCTGAATGTTCCGACTGCTTTTGAAGGTTTATGGAGCAGCAGTAATAACATAAAAACATTATACGAAATATAATACAATGAAAAAAATTTTTCCTAAAGAATTTTTTTATGAAAATCATCCCCCCAAACGCCATTTAAAGTACAAAAGGATAGATTTCGCTCCTTGTAACAAACCAATTAAGGCAAATAAGCTTCTTTTAACCAATTTGGAACAATTTCTAAGACGGATTAACTCTCCGCTTACGCGTTAATAGCGAGAAATATATCGCGCGTTAATTGTCCCAAATTGGCGAAAATGGCAATCTTTAAACCCCCGTAACTTTACGAAAAATGATCACAGGTAAAATATCTTTTCAAATTTAAGCTCAGGACAACAATACCTTTCGAATGATAAAAAAAAATTCCGTCAAAAATTGCTATTTAAAAAGTCGAAGATTGTCTGAAGAAAAAAAAACCCACCCCGAGCACAAATATTCCGTTACTTTCGTATCGAAAGTCGGAACAATAACATTCTCGAAAACAGATGAATCCTCTTTGAAACTATTTTCTGTTCTTCCGTTTGTGATTGATTGATACTGAAAACTTTCTCAGGAGGGATTTGGAGCTTAAAAATCGGAAAGAAAAGGCACGCCTATAAGTAGCAAATTTGCGATGTCCATCAAAGTTTTTCCTGAGACACAGAAACTAGCCAAAAATCACTCTTCAAAAATAGAACAGCACCTTAGTATTTCTAACTAAAACTTAAACCAGGATAGCCAGTTGTTGTTGCCCACCACAATAACAAAAAACTATGTAAAGTCTATTACTTTTTCAAATTTTTTCGGTTTGTATTAATGGTGTGATTAGAGCATCTAAATGAAAATTTAGAACTCAGCATATACAATAGTATTAGTAAAAAAAGTAAATTCAACTACAGTTCTCGAAAAATGAAAAAAAAAAGAAAAGAGTGCGATAAAAGGAACTGTGAAAACTGATTCTAGAATATAACTAAATTTAGACATATTAACTTCAATTACAAGAATTAGACTATTTATAAGCCTATTATGAGCCTGCTCACTCGCCTTATCCGCCCAAAATAAAACTAAAAATCCAAAATTCCAAACCAATTTCAGGAAAATTATAAATGTCGCTTGCGTCACGACTTGAAGAGCTTATAAATGATATATCATTAGACCCATTCTGATTATTTTTGATACCTGATTTTGCGTTAAAAAAGAAAAAACACCCGAAAACAAAATTCCACCCCACTTCCACCGGTCGGAACAAAAAGGAATTTCGAAAAGGAAACGGGAAATGTTTGTCCCGTGCATGTGAATTATCGTCATGACAAAAACAAAAATTAAAACTAACCAAACTGCCATCCTGTAGGAGGTACAACACGTAGCTTGTATGCGCCCTGAAACACAAGTAAACCTTATTAGCCACCCAACTTCAATTCCTATTTGTTGATATCAAAAGGCTTAAATGTATTAGAAGATTTGGGTTGAGGGATGTTTAAGGGTGCGTAAGTAAGGTGCAGCCACAATACCCATTGGATTATTTTGATGAATTATTTTTCGCTTCAATGGGTATTGTGGCTTCACCAAAAGAAAAATTATTCAACAAAACTCTAACTTATTGAAAAAAAAACATAGCAAACATTGAAAACTTTATTTAAAATTGACTATAGGCAACAAATAAAATGCAGTTTGACACTGGCGCCCATCAATTATGGCAACAAATTACCTTCGTTTTATAAAATTGTCGGCTCAAACATCATCGAATTACTTTTAACTGCACCCCCGTGCGTCAAATCCCCTTTAACCGCTTTGGTTACCTGTTCAAACGTGGGTACGAAGAAGTACCCATTGTGGGGTGCACATTCTGTCTTGTCCTTCACAGCTCCGTCAGCTGTCACCAGGTGGATCTGAAACAATCAGGACATGCAAAAATCATTCCGAAATAACTAGTTGTCCAGAATATTTTCAAAACTCAGTTTTTTCCACAGATGTTTTCATTTCAAGTTTCGCACAGAAGCGTAGCAGAGCATCACTTACGATACAAAGCAGCCTTGCAAGCTAGTAAAAAAAGATACGGAAAAAAATAAAATCGATAAAATGTTTTTTTTTTTGGGAAAAATTAAAATAATTGCAGAAAAACAGTCGAAAAACATAACTAGCAGTAATAAATAAGATTATAAAATTTACCGAGCGGCAACTAAGCCGACAACAAGTAAGTAGACGCCCATTAAGCCGAAAACAAAAAACTGTAAGAAATGGTCATAAAAAAATTGAGCAATTAAAGTTTTACAACTTTGAAATCTTGCAAGAGAAACTTCTTGAATTTTAAAATACAAATCATTTTTCGCCTTTGAAGCGACACAAAAATGGGTATTTAAGACAATAAAAACAAGACAAAAACATTTTCGGCCAAATAAAAGCTTTTAAGCGAAAAAAAAAGAAATTAGAAAACCAAGGAAAATACAAACGAAGGGGTATTAATTCAAGAAGTAAACCATAAACACTTGCATCTACACTGACAACCGCTGTCAGCACAAGAAAATTTCTCGCCATAAACAGCGCCGAAGAAATTTTTGAGCCAAAAAGTTTCTACAAAAAAGGACAATTTTTGGCTTCTGGTTCAGAAAAACAATCTGATCAACCATATTTCTTTGACATGGTCAAATCATTTTTTAAAAACGGACTCGAAAAATTCTTAGATCCGCATGTTTAAGATCACTTAGTTATAAGTAGTTTGAGTTTTTATTGCTTTCTAAGGTTTATTGGTGCATTTGCATAGTTTTAATAAATATTGAACCTTTTTGCCAAGAGAAACTACTTGAATTTTAAAATAATAATCATTTTTCGCCTTTGAAGCGAAACAAAAATGGGCATTTAAGACAATAAAAACAGGACAAAAACATTTTCGGCCAAATAAAAGCTTTTAAGCGAAAAAAAAAGAAATTAGAAAACCAAGGAAAATACAAACGAAGGGGTATTAATTTCACTATTTCAAGAAGTAAACCAAAAACACTTGCATCTACACTGACAACCGCTGTCAGCACAAGAAAAGTTCTCGATATTACAACTAAGCCGACAAAGAGAAGCAGACAAACGGACGTCCGACTAATCTTTTTCTCTCGGAACTTTTTTCCGCTTTCATACATACAGAAAAAAATCATGGTCCGGCTGGGGCTCAAACCCGACCTAGGGTTCAAAAGCATCCGCGTTACCTCTAGATCAAGAAGGAAAATGACTCAAAATTCCTAAGATTCATTAATAACGCAACTTTACAATTTCTTACAGATGTGTAAGAAAAGTCGTTTAAGGGAAAAAACTCTCAGTTTCCGATTACAATGCACTTGATCTTGCAATTGTTAACAATTATTCGAACAAAATTTCAAATGAAAACTTCAAAAAATATATTAAATGATTTGCTTTCGACAGCTTTACTTTTGAATGAAAGAGCGGTGTCAACTGCTGATTTCTGTTAACCTGAAAGTGCGCTGTAATTTGCTTATAATTTGCTTATTGGACTGGTTTGAGAGTAGCTGGAAACATAGCTTCATATTAGCCAGGAGTTTTCCAATTTTTTTTCTTTTTTCTTTTCAACAAACCCATTTTTCTTATCACTGTGGTAACCTTTGGAAATTTTTCCAATGTCGTTCGAATAACGATTTGAAGGTCTTTAATATGTCTCATTCCAACTCTTTCGATAATAATTTGTGGCACCTGATTTTCCGTGGAAAACAGTAGAAAAAACTTAAGCCAACCCAGAGACAAATTCAATGTTCAAGAAATTTTTTGGCTCAATTTTGTCATAACAATTATCAAAATTGCCGGACCCCCTGATAGTTTTGAACCAGCCTCCCCTGCAATGAAAAATGCGTTTTGTTCAAAACTATGTCTAACTAAGTAATTTTCGAACCCCCCCCCCCCGCGCGAATAACGTACTACAGAGTGCCATGCATGCAATGCTGAAAAAAATCCATTCTTGAACAAAAATTGATTTGTGCTATTTTAACACTTGCTATCTAAGAAGTCACCAATCAGATTTTTACTATGTGAAACTAAATCCCCTACCTGTATAGCGTCGTATTTGAGTCTGTACTGAGACAGTGCAGCGGGTGTTTTCACAAATCCAGAGCAGCCCGTGATCTTCTGCTCTGCACCGCCGTTGTCACATGTGATCACACTTATACACAGCAGGACAGAGTAGAGTAGCACCACCAGCCACTGATGCTCATCAACAGGGGTACTCAAAACACTCATCTGAAAACTCAAGTCAGTAAGCGGCAGCGAAGAGGATAGCGTTTCTGTTTATCAATCATGAGGTTAACGGTTCGAATCCCCCATCAGACCCTAGATAATTTCTTAAGGGCGAAACTAAACTTCCGAGCAACAAAATGTTTCATGCCAGGCTCTTAACTAAAGATATTTTACCATAACTTTTACGCTTAAATCGATCGAAAGTATATTTTAACATCGTCTTTCCATTGAAAGTTTTGCCGTTCCATACTTAATTAGATGAATTTGTTGTTTATTAGGTAGCCAAGTCTTTTTACAAAGACAGATGTTTGATGTTTCTAAGTTTAATCAAGGGACCCATTCCAGATAAGAATTTGATGATTGCCTTTTTCGAAAAAAATTTGCAGTATTCATTCATACGTGAACATGGATTTTCAGCTTTTACTGCCAATTCACATCTTTGATTCATGAATAACAATAATTTAAAATTCAGAAGTCAATCAATCTATTTCAAATTAGTTTTTTTTTTAAATTATATATATTTCAGGACAGAATAAATTTAGGCCAGTCGGATTTACACTCTTCGTGGAGTGAATTGAACTGTTTCGCGAGGTCAAAACTTTCCTGTTTTCTTCCCATGAGCTGACACAAAAATGTCTTCAATGTAATCACCTCTTTCCTCAAAAAAACAGTCTCCGCCTTATTTTCAGATCCGAACTCGTATTCTATCGCACGAATTATTCTTCCGATGAACTCTAAATTTGATTTCAATTTTTTTCCGTCTAAACCTGCTTTTCTGCTGTTGAAATCTCGCATTAAACATTTACAAAACCAACACATCGTTTGAATTCTGGTCGAAAAATCACTTTCAGTTAAAACAGACTTCGTTAACTTTTCCATGGTTTTCAAACACAAATCGGAATCACCTAACATGAAATGGCAAACAGCGATTCTAGCCTCAATTTCAGCTGCAGTTTTTCTCAGAAATAAAGAATTACTCATTTCTAAAGCTGGTAAAAGATGGAAATTTATTGCACGTGAGAACTCTTTGCAGCCGAAATAAATATCGGCCAAGGAACAATGAGCTAAAATTTTAACATCGGCATAAGCGTTCGAGCTCAAAACGCTAGACAGCAACTTAACTGATTGGGTCGAATTTCTCAATGCATACTTGTACTTCGCATAGTACACATCAGATAAACGAGGTGCATACATTTTGAGCTCAGCTGAGCTGACTTTCAGTAATTTCGAATCATTTCTCAAAACGGCATCTTTGCACGAAACTTCAGCACTGACAGCTCTCCAGTGTTTTGAGCTGCTTAGGTCATACACACATTCTTTAGAAATAAAGTCAATCAGTTTTTTATATTTCGCCGATGATCCGAAATCTCTCAAGATTCCCGCCATTTCTGTAATGGCGATACATGCGGATTCGGGCTGCGATTTGATTGGCGCAGAGATTGAGCTCGAATATGATTGGCTGCTGAAAAGAGCCAATTGGAAATACAGAGAAGCCATGTAGGAGAATCCATACGTTTTCCATGCACGTGCCTGCAATACATATTGGGTTGCCAGGGACGTTCCTGTCACTGAAACGAAAGCATGTTCCAGAATTTTGTTCTCAAAAATTTCAATTTTAATTTTCTGTGTACGGAAACCACCTGATGGTAATTATTATTGCTACAAATTCTTCTCTTACTGTTGCAAAATAAACACTATCAAAATAACTACTAACTGTTCATCAGTTTTAAATCTTTGAAAACAGTTTCTAAACTTATGTCTTTTTAAAATAATTTCACAACTTACATGTATTCGTATTACAGGTAGCTGGTGTTGCACTTTCGCCCAATACAGATTCAACGTAGGCGCTTGCATTAGAATCTATATACCTAATCAACTTAATGGGCGTTCCTCCATTCTGCAACATTTTCTGAACCCAAGATCGAAATGTCATATCCGCGTTTTCGCTCACGCTCGAGACACTTGAAATGTGATTTTTGAGCGAGGAGCAAAATGAATTCGACTCTAACTTCTCAGACAGTTCGTCTTTTATAATTTCCATCCACATTAGAGAATGTTGCAGACATACCATGTCATTGGCCTCTAGTGCCATTCGGACCGCTTCTTTAATCGCCGCTTCGCCTATCTCCCAATGACCCAATTCAACGTGAAAAATCGCCAAATTCAAAGCTGCAAATCGAAAACTTTTCGCTATTTCGTCGTTTGATTGAGTGGCGAAATTATTAACATTCTGGCCGATTGCATTTGATTTCGAGTCAAAATATTGAATCAGAGAGTTCAAACATACAGTATAGTCTCTTGCACGTAAAGAGTTAAGATACTGCAGGTACAAAACTTCACTTTGCTGTGAATTATTAGTTAACAAGTGATTTATAACTTTCTGAAGGTCTTTCGATTGCATTGCTGAATTGTCTTTTTGAAGCAACAGCGAAATCTGTTTCGATATGAAAAACTCGGATTGTTTTTTTGAGAATAGGAACTTGCTATTGAAATTACTTGGCCCTAATTCCATTTCATCTTTAACATCATTCTTATTAGTTCGATCTTGGATGCTCAAATTGGAAATATCGACCGCATTGTTGACCAGAATGTCATCAAAAGAATCCTCAACTTTGATTTGTACTTCAGTATCTTGTGTCGAGTATTTCTCAAAACACTTCCACAGTTTCGAAACCTGCATGAAAGTCAAGTTTTTGAACATCAACGAGTGTCGTCGCAAGAAAAGACCAACTGGACTTTGACCATCAATATTTGAACTCCTGCTTGATTTCTCACCACTTAACATTTTGTCGACATTTTTGAAAAGATTGACTAAGCACTCAGAGTCATTATAGCGCTCTCCAATTCCCATAAAAATGTAAGTTCCAAATTCATCTTTGATTTCATTCAACTCCAATTTTAACTGGTCATATGTGATATCGGGACCTATGATCCAATGAAGAAACTTCAGGCACAAAGTGACACGCTGCTCCCATTTCAGACCCAGATAAGGAACATCGACTGATTTCTGGGTCTGTAAGTACTGATACAAAATGTCAATTAAGGCAACTCTGAATGGAGTGATAGAAGATAAAGATAGTTTGTCATTTGTGAACGTGTCCACTGCAGCTATTCTGGAGTTCAAAATCACAGGCGACTCCATCTAATCTATCTGAAGACAAGCTGTTTGTTTTCAATCATATCAAGTTTCCTCGCAGTTAGCATTTCCTCCTAATAAATTTGCCCTTTCTTTGTCAATGACTAATTTATTCCGATGACTACGGAAATTAGGTCAATTACAGAAAAATGGCACGTTGAAGAGATACACGATGATTTTAATGTATCTTATATCAACACTAGAAAAATTAAGCATACGCAATAAACTGTACACATCCTCAGCAAGGATTTAATAAAACTGAAATCGATAAACTTTCCTCATAATCAAACTTAAGCAAAATTATATTTACAATTTAAAACCAGAATGTATTGCAGCGACTCCGGAGAGAAACGAGTTATAAGTAGCACCTTTGAATCCCACATTACTGATCATATCTCTAAATTCAGTCTTATTTGGGAACTTCCGAATACTCTCCACTAAATACTTGTATGAGTCCCAATCACCCGCAACAACTGCTCCGAACACAGGGATGAAATCCATCGAGTATCTGTCATACACACTCTTCAAAAGTTGGTTCTCAACGTCTGAAAACTCAAGACACATGAACCTCCCACCAGGTTTCAAAACTCTGTACGCTTCTTGAACACCCTTATTAAGGTCGCCATAATTCCGGATCCCAAAAGAGACTGTGTAGAGGTCAAACTGATTGTCCTCAAAAGGTAGATTTTGCCCATCGGCAACGGTCCACGTGATTTGTTTGCTGTTTTCGTCGTTTTTAATTTCCTTTTTGGCTCTTTTTCTGCCAAACTTGAGCATATTTTCACTGATGTCGCCGACTGTCACTTCTGCACCAGGAAATTGCTTGCTTATTCTGAAAGCAATGTCACCAGTACCACCTGAAAGGAACAAAAGCTCTTGATCCAAGCATGCAGCGTCCAATTACCTATTGACTCGCTCTAAATAATTTAAACTAGCCTCATAAAATCAATTCCATGACCAATTAATATCCTTCCTAATGCCGCAAACGAGCGGATAAAATTTTGCTATCTTGATCATTGATCACCATAAGATTTTTCTAAACCAACTTTGAAGTTGAAAAATTTATAATTTAGTATGAAGCTTAAAAGAGAAAAAAATTATTCAATTAATTTTTGGAACTGCATTCTTCTAGCAATCATTTGTTCGAAAAAAAAAACGATGATCGTTGTTCCTGCTCGTCAAAAGCGTCCAACACTTAAGCGATATGGCTCATCATGAATTCTAAATCAGATGTAGAAATGAGAAATCTCGCGAACTCTTATATTATCTCCTTACCCTCCATTGACTTTAAAACTGACCTGCCATGTCTAACACTTTCATGCCTGATTGTACATTGCACTGTCTCACAAACTCATCCTTCCAGTACCTGTGCACTCCTAGAGACATTACGTCATTCATGACGTCATACTTCTTCGCCACCGAGGAAAACACTTCGTTCACACGTCTCTGCTTCTCTTCGCTATTCTGGACACTCTCGTAGCCGAACCAAGCATCCGATTGTGAATCTAGTGAAGACTGTTCTGGCTGAGGGCTTTGTGCTCGCATCAGTGGCGCACCCAGACTGATTTTACGAGTTTGGATGCACATTTTGCACGCTCTAGGAAACCGCAAACTGCGCAAGCAGAATGGTGACAAAGCCATATCTGAAAAATCTCAAACCTTACTATTTGATCTCAAAATTAAACACAGAGGCGAAGAAGAGCTTCCAACCACTTGCGATACATAACTACATGTCAAAGTTCGAAAGATAATCTGGCTCTTACAAAAAAGAAAAAGTAAATGAGTTATGTTGAAGAAATCGTCGGATAAAAATTTTTGCAATTCTTATAAAACTCAATTACCAAAAACAGAGGATTCAGGTTACACAAATTCCATTCATTTCTTTATGACAACTATCAGATGGAAGAATGCGAAAAAAAAGTGAGGTTTCGGTCCAAAAATTCACCAAGAAACTTCTGAAGTATTGAAACAAAAAAACTGCATGTCCATTAAGAACATCCGGATGTCTCAGTATGCACATTCGATCGCTTGCCTAAACCAAATATCAAAAAAATAAACAAAAAAAAATAATTATTGAAATTCCAAAAAACTTGTAGAATAGAAAAAAATATATAAAACTTTAAAAACCTATGAAATTATCCCAACTACACCAATCTTTTCAGATGTAAGGCTAATACGCAACGATAAGATAGCTCCGACACAGTTAAAAAAGATCACAAATAATAATAAAGACGTCCGTTAGTGAAAAAAAAACAAGAAATTCATAGCTTTCAAAACATTTCAACTAGAAAAACTCTATCTTAAATATCATTCAACACCCGCCAATTACCTTAGTAGACAGAACAATCGAGTCAAAATTAGAAAATAAACTTTTTCGGAATCTTTCTGAGAAAAATTGAGACTAATTAGAAAAATTTTGACCAATACGCTTTCCAATCACCTTGAATGGACTTGAAATGAAATTGCTCAAAATCAAATTTTGATTCTAAGTTTTGTTCAGCTAACTGCACACACTATTGAAACAACAAAAAAAAATCAGAAACCAAGCCTTCGAAAAATCATCCCTTCAAAAATGAATTAAAAAAACAATCGCTTCAAAAGTTTTTTCTTTTCGAACTGAAAGTTTTAGCGTGTATTAGAAATGCCTTCGAAAAAGCGTGCATAGAAAAACGTTCGCTCGTGTTACATTCTTCGAAATGAACATAACATTTATTTGAATAGAATTTTTTAAAAATCACCCGGCGGAAAATACATTTTTACATTTGAAATATTTACAGAGAGGCGAAGTTGCACTTCGCATACACAAGCAAAAATATGACCGATAACGCTGCTGGGGAAGACTGAATGAGTAAAACTTAGAGTCTACAAAATTTCTTAAGTGACGCACGCCAATTATGAGTCTACATAATTGCTAAATGACGCAAGCCAATTATGATGCATTTTTTAGTATCAGTCAATTTGAAAAAAAAATTAACAACTAACATGCCTCAATTTATAGAGCAGATGCATTTCGGCTAGTATACCAAAAATTTCATTAAAAACATCCGACCCTGCCTAGGCTCGAACCCTCTTATTTTGTCGTGTGTCTCCTTCCCTACTTCTACGCAACAGATACATGATACCTTGAAGGTAAAGTGCTATTTGTAATATAATAGTCTGTGTTAATATCCGTAGCATTGGCTGTACTTAATAGCTGGTTATAGAGCAAAATGAACACATTTCGTCGCAACAATATTTGCGTCGCAACAATATTTGCGACTTGGGTTGGAAAAAAGTGCGAGCTCATACTATAACACAAGCTGTGCTTGTGTAAGTGCCAGTAGATACAGTAACGCAATAACTCTAGACAGAGTAACTAGAGGTGTTAAAAGTTCAATGTGCTGAAAAAATGAGATCTTGAAATTGGATATCCTGTGAAAAAGTCTTTTACGGGAAAAGTCTCGTACCCGATTGCAATACCCTTGCTTATCGCAAGGGTAAACAAAACTTGTAAAAAAGGAGGAAAACAAATCATTAAAAAAGTGTACTAAGGGCTTTTGAGACGATTCAGTTGATAATCTTTCTCGATGAAAATATTTCGCTGCACTAATTTATGTTGTACACAAAATAGAATATTTTTCAAATGTACACAAATAGAATATTTTTCAAACTTAATATATTTTCGTATCTTGTACTTCTCCTGCTTTCACACTGTCGAAAACCCACTCCTGCGACACTCGGACTCCACTCGACATGCATTTCCATTCTTCGTCAGAGCATATCACAATTTTATTACGATCAACTTCATAACTTTCTACTGTTTCGCCATCATACGCAATGAAGTAACGCTCTAGCTTCTCTTTACTCGCAACTGAGTCGCCCACAAATAATTTATAATCGGTGAATATGTTTTTCAGTTTAGTTGAATGGCTCTTTAATGAGGCACTTTGTTCTACTCTCTTCGGCTTTTTAGAAAACGACGATGTGATTGGAGTTTGTTGACCTTCTCGTTTACGTGGGCTTAACGGCGGAGACGTTTTGCTTGAACTTGGTTGGTTGTTTTTACTTCTTGTGCTTGAAGATAAAGTTGGTGAATCCGTCGAGTTTTTGGACATGATAGATTCGATGTCCGAGTTTTCCTTCGACTTGGCGACTAAAATTGAAATATAACTTATCATAGGTTTAATTTAGTTTTTAATGGTGCCAACCGTTTCCGTGGTGCCAATCGACCTATGATTTATCCCCCGTAAAGCCAAAAAGAATCAACGTGTCATTTACTTCGGCTGTTTTAAAATGTTACCACTTTTTTTACCCACCTAGAACTTTGAGTCGAATGAAATCAGTTGCCTCCCTCCAAGACTTATCGTCTCTCACTTTCGTTACTCTCGGAAACCGGATCGAAATCCCATCGGCCGTATGTCCTTCCGCTTGCGTGAACTCAGCTCCTGTGATCTCCCAAACAGGTGCGTCTTTTATATCACTAATCACGAAATCAGGGACCAGCTGCTTCTTGATTTTGAACATGCGTGGCACTTGGTTCGGATCCTTGGATATCTTAGTCATTTTGAGATCTTTGTTGACTTTGCTCAGCTGTGCGTCTGTGAATCCATTTGAGACTTTTGTAACCGTCAGCCAAGATCTCGATGCTTCGTCGTAGACACCCATGAGAAATGAAGACATCAAGCCACCCTAAACCAACTTTAATCAAAAAACTGCTTCGACCGACGAGAACCAATCAAAAACAGGCATTTTTAGGCTACTCACGTTTAAATTTTTTGTTATCTGGTGCTCAATTATGCCAATAAACAAGGTATGCTAACTAAAAACTTTCAAGAATCCTATCAAATTTCCGTCCTATTCGTTTGATTTAATTTCCGCGAAAAACTTCTGAGAATCGATAGCCCTATTGATAAAAATCCTCCTCTATTATAAGATCAAAAATTTGAGACCCACCATGGTCCAAACTTGTCGTATGCATCATTTAACCGGGACAAAACAGCGAGTCTCCGTATAAAAAAAACTGAAAAACTGTCCTTCCGTATGTTGGTCCTTCCATCTTGGATAAATGGTATTAGTTTTGTAATTCAGCCCACCTTATTGCCTGTGCCATAGTAAGCACCCAGACAGACCAAGTCAGCAGTGTCGGCCATGGCCCCATCCTGCAGGTAGTCCTTCTTCACCTTCAGCCAGTGTCTCTTCCCCGGCTCATAGACACTCTGAGTGTCCTTCAGAACCAGTCCTTCTAATCCTGCTTTGATGGTCTCCATTATCATTGTGTTCAACTTCGAGCCATCTTTGATTATCTGAAAAGAAGATAAGATAGCACGTTGTGATCCAACCAAAAGATTTGGTAAATTAATAATTGACATGGTGTTTAACTAACCGTGTGTTCACTGAGCATTATTTTGTTAGGAACCTCCGTGATGTTATCTGAAAAGAGACGCAAACATTTACATATTAATTCCGACCCGACAGTTGGACATAAGATATTAGTTTGTGCTCGATTTTATGATCCCAAAAAACTTTGTTGTGAAAAAGCTCAATAATGAAGCCGTTTTAGCCTCAATTTAGATTCAAAAATACTAAGCTCAAAAATATACAAATTGGTTTTCAAGCAGTGGAAAAAAAGGATGTCTGATATTGTTATTCTCAACTTAAACATCAAAGCAAGGATAAACATTTTACGCAATATGCGCGTAGCAAAAATGAACGATTGTCGATGTAAAGGGTGAGAAATCTGCAAATTACCGTAGAGTATTTTTTTCCTGTATGCCAATGGCTGCTCCACTAAAGTCTCCTCGTTGAATAGAAGACAGTCGAAAATGAAGAGACAGACTGAGGCATTGGCAAATGCAGTCTTCTTATGGACTCCAAGAGTGCCAAAGGGAAGAGGTTGTCCAGTGTTTGTGTCCACTAGAAGAACTTCGCAGTCCAGAATCATGTCATTGCCAGCAGGACACGCTTGAGGTAAGAATTCTGAAAAGCAGAAACTTGGAGTAAAACAGATTGCAAAGGTATTTTTCATTCTTAATAATCGAAACAGACCTTAAATAATCTGGATACAGGATTGTTCAACTTGGAAAATAAGTTAAGTGAAGCATAGTTAACAAACAGTTGGAACGAGTCAATGAACACCAGTAAACAGAAAAACAATACTGACTCAAAGAAGAAATCAAAAGTCAAAACAGTATTTTAGAGCCTGAACAAATTAAGACTTTTCCTGAAAAAATCAAAAAACCATTGCCACCTATATAAGAGTCGGAACTACTTTCATCGACTCTTGAACAGTTCTCCGACTCAGTTGTCCAATATCAGTTCAATTATTGCATTATCTCCACTGCAACTGAGTTATTTTGTTGGAATCTAAGTTCTCTACCTTTGATATGGGCCACTTTGTGTGCTACTACAGGCTTCAGACTCCTCGAGAAGTACTGGTAAGTGGATCCCTTCTTGTGCACCTACAACGTCCACTTCCAATTGACAACTTATCTACTCGAGCACCAAGTATCGAACTACCATCTTAAATTTCTCTCATTTTGAGTCCAATTATTGTCATTTACTTTTAATAAATGTTTACAGTGAACACATCGAACTCATCAAATTTTTTTGGTTAAATTTTCAAAAATTTTGCATCAAGCTTAGAAGCATAAACCTGATAATGCCTAACTTGCATATTCGCTTCGTTGAATTCTGCTCCCATGTCTTTATTTGTATGATATTCTATTGTGCGAACTCTTATCTTGCTTTATTAGTATCTAATGTACCTGTACTCGTTCCCCGTCGTATTTGATCTCCGAGTACATTCCATTGGGACACCTTTCCAGTGCAAATGCCACACTCTTGCACGCTTCTGCCAACATCGGAAGCACAGGCGTCATCAGGGACACTTTTATACTACACACCAATTAACTACTGTTGGAACATACACTACTATGATACTACAATTACCAGGGTCTAGGACTAAATCCCGCAGGATAAAATCCCACCGGATATAATCCCCCAGGACTAAATCCCCCGTAGGACCAAATCCCACTAGGACAACATCCCCCAGTTTCTAGCTTAAAATCCCCCACATTCGAATTCAACAAAACAGCGACAGTAAAACTTGAAGTAGATAGATTAATGACTAAAAACTAAAAGTACAAGTTAACAGCTATGGCTTTAAGATAATCCAACTCTTTGTAGTTAGCGGCAGAGCATACAATTCTCTTTATCCTCCCAAAATTATTCTCTTTCCTTGTATGAACTTTCTTGCCGAGCTGCATTTGAGCAAAACTGAAAGATTGCAGTGATTGCTGCCTCTGAATTGCCTCAATGAACTTCCATATGTCAGGATTTGACATTTGGAGTATGGATTCGAGTCCACGGTGAAATCCAAGGGCATTGTTTGTTCAGGGGAGGTCGTCAATGGTCCTGAAGTAAACGTTCCACATATCCATGTCGAATCGCGATTTCCGTCTCGTCCAGTTTGTGTCGTCAGGAATGTGGCAAGTTACTAGTATTTGTTTATACCAGGCTTCTTCATTTAAGGGTGGGGCAAACGCAAGAGCAGCTAAAAGACGTATAGCTAGGTTGATGAACAGCATAACCAAATTCAAGTATCTTTCTGCAAATGGCTTGCGAGAAGTGAAAGAAACAACCTTTGATTTCTGTGTCTGGAAAGTTGTCACCCACAGAATTGATGCAAGCCATTTCAAAGTCCATCATGATTGAACATGAGGCGATGCTTGTATAAATGGAAGTCAGTTCAAAATGGAATCAATAGAAACATGAAATTATATAATGTGTACAGTTTGATTTCCATTATACTGAATAAAATATGGTGGATTTTGTCCTAGGGGGATTTGGTCCTATGGGGGATTGAGTCCTGGGGGATTATATCCAGTGGGATTTTATCCTGGGGGATTTAGTCCGCGGGCGCTTTCAAAGACAAGAAAATAAAGGAACCTAATATTATGAGCGGGAATGGAACTCAGTTCTCGAGCTTCCAATTTCTTACGACGAAATCGCCGGAACAAGATTCTGGCATTTTTCTACTTCTGGCAATTAAGGGGAGCAAGCAGCGTTGAAGTCGTTACTTCCTCGCCTCTCAAGCCAAAGGTTACTGGTTTGAAACTCGTCATGATCCGTGCTTATTGTTCGAGGATGAGCCAACATTAGTCAGTCCAGAAAAAGAACCCAAAATGCATCCAGTTATTAACTAGATGCACAACAGCTCTTATGTTAGTCCTTTCTCTCGTATAGACATGGTTTTGACTTAACTTACCACCCACCTTAATTGTTTTGTCATTTTGGGACTGTCCTTCCGTTGCATAACTCGAGTCACTACGTCCTTCAAATCCCTCGATGTCTGAAAGGCCTCGTATGCACGTGCATCTATGGCGTCCAGCACTGGCTTCGCACCCGCGTTCATTCTCAGATCATGTTTCACGAGTCTAATGAGTACTTTCAACTCCTTAGCTGAGCACTTTGGAGCCATTTGAGAGAAGAAACGCTCCTGGTCTCGTTCGGTGGTCACGTTGGATAATTTTTCTAAACTTCATCAAAATATTTCCGATGTAAGATCTATTTAAGCTGATGCTTCGATTTCTTAATTTTGCGCGATCAAGAACTTAAAAATTTCAACTTAATAACTAATCATGGGAAAGCAAAGATTCTCGCAACTTTGAAAATAATAGAATAAGGGATAGATCATCAGAATAACTCGATTTCGTAGCCTGATAGATATTTAAAACAAGCTAACCCAAAAACTTATCTATATCCACAATAGTTAGACTTGCTGAAATTTCCGCAATTGGTTCGATGTCCGATTTAGCGTTGAGAAAGAAGTGCTCAATAGTGAGTGAAATATCTCCCGATTGGTCCAGATGGTCTGACATTTGATCCTGGTCGCAGTTCAAAACCAGGGCAAACACTTTCAGTAGCTGTTTGTTGTGTATGTTATAGACCCTCTTTATAACTCCTAAACAACAACCGAAATGAGAAGCATAAACTTTCGAAACATAACTGAAGTATATATTGCAAACTTGACATAAGCGAAGAGGCACATAGCGTATCAGAGCGGTCATCACTGGCAATAAAAAAAATGCCAGATAACAAAAAACTAAAATCGAATGGCATCCAAGAAAATAGGTTCTGGAAAAATTTCAAGGCAGCATGATTGAATGAAACAATCTATTTCCAAAAAGAGGACCATCTGAGAAAGTCATCGCAGGTGAGAACAATGAAAGGAAAGATTGATTTTTTTTCAGTTTTCAAATGTATGAGAGCTCTATAAACTGCAGTAAAGCTGTGATGCTCGCAACACACGATACCAGGCAGTCAATTAAAAGCTGTAATGAAAGTTTATACCAATGATCTAAAAACATTAAAAACAATATTACCTTTCAGCAAAAAACTTTCATTTTTACCGGCTTCTTGAATTAGGAAGTCAAAATTGATGTATTGTATATATTGTATAGACTGGCTCTGAATATCTTCAATTTTATTTTCGTTACAAAACATCCAAACTAATAAAAAACGAATGGAAAAGTGTAAAAGATTAAGAAAAAATCGTAAAGTTATCCCATTTAGAGAAAACTGGATCAATAGGTAATTTTTATTTCGCTGGGAAATCTGAAAATAAAATCCATTTTTTAAAATAAAAATCATTCACGTTTATCGTGACCATTACCTTTTTTTGTTGTTCGATAATGAAGTTTGCCTTTATTTAAAAAAATGAACTGTACTTGAACCACAGAAGCAAAGCTGAGCTTCGCATTTGAGATACAACAACTACAGAATGAGAGCACCACGACGCTATTTATTCGCAAACATAACTTCGAGCGATGTTACAATTGAATAGTGGGAAAATATTTTTTTCAAAAAGTATTTTCACGTTTGAAGTTATTTAAAAATTTCAAAGAGGTCCTAGACCGTTTGACTTTGGGCATTCAAATATTGGTGACAGAGTGTTATCGATCTCAAAAGTACTACCGAACATTTTAAGGAAAAAAAATCGGAAAATAAGCACACAGAAATAAACCCGACAGTCAATAAGCTGAAACTCAGCCCGATTGGTTTGAAAAAAGCATATGATACAAAACTGCATAAAACGCCCGCATAAGGTCCATAATAGCGGTCCATTTGTTTAACGCCCATAAAACGCCCGCATAATAGGTCCATTTGTTTAACTAGTTAATAACCCGAAAAAAATCAATATTCCGATTTGATAACGCTTGCTAATCGCAAGTGGATAGGATCAAAAGTCATACCGCAAAAAATTAAATTTGAGCATGAACATATTTCAATAATTTTCCTGAAAAGACAAGCAAAAAATCAAAACTCAGTTGGATAAGAGTCTATGAACGCAAGTAAATATAAAAAATACTTACACGTTTTAAAATTAGAGGCCTTTAAAGCTTTATGAGTTTCTAGAACAATCATGACTGGCACTTTGATAAAAATTAACCGAATTTGAGAAAACTGGATCAACAAGTAAATTTTTTAGTGCGCTGGGTTATCTAAAAATTAAATTCCACTTTCCAAATTAGAAGTCGATCACGTTTTTGGGACCTTTATATTTTTGCAGTTCGATGGTGGAGTTTGTCTTCCTTTTAACAAAGGAAATGAACTGAATTATAAAGAAATCAGACCGCGAAAAGTAAATTGAGCCTGAACAAACTTTAAGACTCTTCCAGAAAAAAAACGAAAAAATTCTTGGCAACCTATCTAAGAGTCTGAACTACGTTCATCGACTCTTAATAACACTTAGAAATTCCATGCATCTTCAAACATTACTTTGCACACACGGGCAAAGAAGAAATTTTAATTTTATAAAGAAGTTTTGAGAAACATACTCTAAACAGGTCAAAGTTTGTTCACTCCTCAAATCGATCCTGCCCTTTTGAAAAACTGTTGGTCTACTAACATCAACAAACTGATTGTCAACTGACCTGGTAAAAGGAGTTTAAGTAGAAGAGTGAGTTCAACATTTGATACGTCTTCATTGTAATTCAAAAAACTCTTGATGATTGCTGTTTTACCGGTGTAAGCAGGCTCATTCGCAATTTTTTCTGTTAATTTGCAAAAAGCAAGAAATGAAATATTTGCTGACATTCCGTTCAAATCCAGTTGCGGAGAACATGCACTACAACTCGGCTCGGCCGAATTTTTGGGTAAATCATTTGTTGCATTGTTTGTTTTCGCTTGTTTCTGAGATTTTTCCTTCGATGATTTTCCCGTTGGAACCTTTTGATTCCTGAATTCGCATAAATCATCGATCAACTTCCTAAATCGAAATCATGTAGTTTGCACAGCTCAAGCTTCGGTAAGATATTATGGTACACAATTTATAGACGAAAAACTTACTTTAAGGAATCTTTTTCTTCGTCCTCCAACTCCGAAAAACCCTGAATGTCTGAAGAGCACTCGATTACTTTTGTAGTAGCTCTTGCTCTTTGGAAAGAATCAAATAGGCAAGAGGCATGGAAGTATGACTTCATTGTCTCGCCTTCTGTATATGGACTCGGCGCTAATTTTGCTAATCGTAATGATCCTTTGGGCAATTTTACTTTGCACTTCGAACAAGATGAAGTTCCTCTTGCAGCATAATCACACGAAAAGTCACCACTAGCCATAACCTGAAATCTTATAAAGCATATGCTTCAGCAAAAAAAACACAGAGGCCAAAACATTGCCTATTTGTTATAATCTTACTAAATAGATGTGATATGTTTGCGCCTGTTTGTCGAGCCCTATTACAGGGCTTTTATAGACTGTATCAGTCGAACGAAAAATTAATCAAAAGTAAACATCGAATGTTTTCGCAACTATGTGCATCGCCAGGTTTTTTTACAATAAATGACGATGACCGAATTTAACCGAATGACGATAAAACATCAGAGCAGAAAAGCTATGTTCAATATTTTACATAAATTTTAACTCTAAACCAACATGTTAAAAAACTGTTCAATTAGATTAAAAGTACTTTTAACCTCTGAACAAGAAATCAAAAATTTAAATTAGGAACGTTTTCGCACATTGGTTCATCACCAGGTTTAAAATTATTGAAATTATATAAAATGATCATCGTTCAAAAAAACGGGTCTAGGACAACAGGCCGACAGGACTTCAAGCCGAAGGGACTTCAAGCCGAAATTAAAACTTTACCAGCACCTCAAAACACTATTTTATCATCTCTAAAACGTTGCTTTTCAAAAATTTAGTAATGTTTAGTCCATATAAGCGTTGTTCATGACAATGCACCACTTCTGATCGTCATCCGTTAATAACATCAGCCGGTTTTTGAAATGCATAAATTATACACATGAAAAATGTCTTCAACCATGTTTTACTTTTCAACTTTCCGAAACCTCATTTGGAGGCTTAAATTTTTATGAAAACGCCAATAACTAGTGAAGCAAAGATCATGAAATTCAGAAAGTCTTCAAAAAAGTTTTCAAATTAATCATATTTAACGACTTTATAAGGAACTATTCGGCTTGAAGTCCCTTATTTTACGATTCGGCTTGAAGTCCCGTCGGCTTGATGTCCGGCACCCCAAAAAAACATCCTAAGATAATGTGTGACATTCGACCAGAATGGCGCCAAAATACGGAGTGCAGCCAGTATTTAGACAGCCGCGTATTCATACTGGTCAGTATTTAGACAAATACTGTATGAACCAATCAGAATCGAGAAAAAACATAAATAATCCAAAATAAATAATAATTATTTACTAATTTCTTCTTTGTCTCGATTCTGATTGGTTGAAACAGTATTTGTCTAAATACTGACCAGTATGAATATGCGGCTGTCTAAATACTGACATGTAACCCCAAAATACATTGCCACTTCGAAACTTTAATGTGACCGTAATCTGGGAAAACTCGCAGTTTTTGCAGATTAGCAGTATTATAAGAAATTTAAAATGTTAATTCAAACGTTTTCGCACATTCTGTGCATCATCAGGTGTGCCAGTCGGTCATATTTGGAAGTTTGACCTTGAGAAGAGCAGAAAATACTTGATTTTGAAGTGAAATTTAATTTTTCAAAATTTCGAATGGAACATGTCATGCACGATTTTCTCGCGATAACTGAAAATCAGAAAAAGAAATCAGAACAATTTTAGAACAATTGCGGGAAAGTAGTCAGATAAAAACGAGTGGGAAATTGCTATTCGCAATTTCCATCATAGTGAACAAGAGTAGAGCTGTCCTATTCGAAACAGAAACCAGCGTATTCCCACGAGTTGGATAGTCGTGTCTGGAGTTCTATTCTAAAGCTGGACCAGAGTGAACCTTCAGCGGGAAGGCGGACAACTAGAGTGTCCCAACGGTCCATGAGAACTCAAATTCTAGAGCATAGACTTATCCTTGTCGTACAAACTATAAAACATTAAACTTCTTTTAGTTATTTATTTCTTGAGTTAGTTACCAACTGGATCATTTCCCAATTCTTGAGCGTGCTGCTATGTGAGTACAAATTTAAATTCTAGAGTGTTTTTTGTAATTGTTATGTTGAGGTGAGGCGAGTTTTAGGTTGATCCATCTGAAATGGATCAAAGTCACACTGTCTAATAAAAAGTAACCTAACGGATTGTTCCAACCCGGTTTTTAACGGCGTTCATGTATTTTGGGTATCTAGAGACCTAAGTATGGGGACGTTCTTAATTCTAGAGTGGGGGGATATTTTAGTAGTAGCCTTTAAGCTGTAACGGGTCGTAGTCTCATGTCACAAGCGAACCG